GCTTTCTCGTTGGCTTCAACGAATGCGACACGCTCATTCAAACGAAAGATGACGGCACGCAAGGGGCAGCCCGGGAGCATGTTGCGTGCGTGGGCGGTACCTTGGCGGCCTGGAGCGCCTTGCTGAGGATGGCGTCCAGCGTGTCGGGGTGGAAGTCGAGGTACTCGGCGACGGCGTCCGCGACGGCGGCGTCCACGGTCTTGCGCACCTCCGGGTTGCCCAGCCGCGTCTTGGTCTGCCCCTCGAACTCGGGGTCCACCACCTTGACGCTCACCACGCACGTCAGCCCCTCGCGCACGTGCTCCCCCACCAGATTCGCGTCCTTCTCCTGCACCGCAGCCGCAACCAGGAGCTGGAATAAGACCAGGCGGAGCACAACGGAGTCCCCGCACACGCCGGAATCCGTGCGTAGAGAAGGGGTACAGAAGGACCACTGCTTACGCGAAGCGGCGAGCGGCGGGTGTCAAGGAGGGCGTCGATTACCTCCACGAACTGCTGTAAACTTACCTTCAGCTTGCCGCTCTTTCGAGCGAGAGCGTTTAGAGTCCGGGTGATGGCCTGTTTCATGCCTTCAAGATGTGTTCCCCCGTCGCTTGTCCGAATGCTGTTGGCATACCCGAGAATGGTGTCCGAGTATGAATCGGCACACCTGCACAGCAAGCGCACCTCGTCATACTTGTCCCAGGCGCCCGCTCTGAGCAGCAACAGCAGGGCACCACCGCGGACAGCGCATCATGGATGCAACCAGGGAAAACTGACAGCCGAAAAGGATCGATTGAGTACATTCAAATCAGAAGCAGGTTCCAAAGTGGATGGGTCAGATACGCAGGAATCAACCCATATTTTAACATGTGAATCCACAGCATACCCCAAAGAAAGCCCCTGCAACATCCGAGCAATGCACTGACAGTGCGTACGAACATGATGTGCAACTCGGAAGTCCGTTCAAAACGCAGTTCAACATGATGCCAGCCAGGAGCGGGGATACAGAAACGAGGATGAACACTACTGGACGTAGTGGTGTAAAGGTCACTAGCTCACCATTGCAGCGCACAGTCGACGAGGGTGCCGTCCTTGTGCGTGGAGAAGGCAATTGCCTCGTGCAGCGCGTCTTTGTCGCGGTTGACCCACTGCACGTACTCGCGCAGGCCCCCTGCAAAATGGAACACCTCGCGGCGGTCGGCCGCGTGGTTGCGTGCAGCGATGGTGACGGCACTGTTAAGAAAGGCGAGCTCGCGCAGGCGCGTGCAGATGGTGTCGAAGTCGAAGGTGGCCGACTCCTTGAAAACCTTGGGGTCTGGCTTGAACAGGATGCGCGTGCCACTGCGCGGGGCCCCATTGGAGGCCACGTCCCGCGTCTCTAAAGCGGTCACCTGCAACAAAGGGACATATTTGAAGGCCCCAGGTATACCCCCCTGATTCCCTGTAAGCTCAGGTCTTCATTCACAAGCATTTGAAGTCTGCATTCCAGTAGGTTGCACTTTGTGAGCGATTATCGCAGTAAGTGCACACGAAGTCAACCAGGTGGGCCCCCCCCCCGGTGGCTCACCGGATTCCCCCGCTCGTAGGCCTGCCTGTACTCGAGCCCCCCTCGCCACACGGTGACCTCGAGGCGCTCCGACAGCGCGTTGACCACCGAGACGCCCACCCCATGCAGGCCCCCGGACACGCGGTACCCAGCGCTCTCGCCCCCAAACTTGCCACCCGCGTGGAGCACCGTCAGCACCGTTTCCAGCGCCGACTTGCCGGTGGCGGGGTGCGTGTCAGTGGGGATCTGCAGAGGACGGCGACGCTCAGGGACACACCAGTGAGCAAGGGACGCAGACAACCACCGGTGGGTGGCTGAGCCGCCATCCTCAAGAGCGTACACTTGCCACCAAAGGTTTTGTTGCGAGAAGCCAGCACCTTCTACAATACAATGGCCCACCTTTGCTGTACTTGGAATTGAGCAAGGCCAATTCAAGGATATCAGCCAGACAAATCTCACAGCAGACATCCCAGGGTGCCTGAGCCTGCGCCCAGGTGGGCATCCTCACCCCCCTGCCGTCATCGGTGATGCTGACGGCCCCGTCCGGCAGCAGCTCCACGTCCACCCTGGTGGCACACCCCGCCTGCACCTCATCAATGGCGTTGTCCACCACCTCCCACACCTGCGCGCACACAAGCATCAGCAAGGAACAGCAGCGCGCAAACGATGAGCAGGGTGGTGCAGAAGCAGCGTCGCTAGTCGCACTGGGAGGCCAGGTGCCTGCTGGTGGCTGGTGCCCCCCTTTGGGCCTGCGTGCGTCCTGAGCATCGCGGCGGCGCTCACCAGGTGATGCAGCCCCTTGGCCCCGGTGCTGCCGATGTACATGCCCGGCCGCTTGCGCACCGGTTCCAGCCCCTTGAGTACCTGGATCTGGCCCGCATCGTAGGCCTTGCCCCCCTCACCACCCTGGGCGCCTGGACCTCCCGCTGCTGGCGCTGCCTCAGTGTCAGGGCCTGTTGCGTCCACCACCCCCACATCAGCCACAGCAGCGCAGCGCACCCCAAACTGCCGCGTCATGCCGAAGGCGGAGCCCCCGCTCTGCAGCAGCCCCCCCCTCCAGTCCGCCTGCTGGGCACTCCCCACCGTCCCAACGCGCAAAGGTGAGCCCAACACTGCGGTCATGTCCGGCGCCCCACCAATGCCAGCCGTGATGGGGCGCAGCAGCGATGGGAAGCTGTGCAAGCGGGGCGCCAGCGAGGGCCTGTGGGCATTGAGATGCACCAGGCGCAGCAGACGGAAGGCGTGCCGCCCTATCTCCATCTCCAAAGAGGAGCAACACCTCTCCATACCAGGCGACCGCCTCGTCGATAGCTCTCAGCACCTTTGTTCAGAAGCACTTGCCATGGCAGAAGTCAGGGACGAGTGGCATTGCAAGCTGTATCAAGACGCAGCAACTTTCTCAGAGGTGGCGGGAAAGGTTTACAAATGTGATTGAAGTTCCTAACCCAGCTTATATAATCGACCGGGAGAGTCTGCCGTCATTTTCACGTGGAGCTGGTAGGTGGACTGTTCGTCTCAAGCTAGGACCGACCGTACTCCGACCGAGGAAGGTTCCACCGCTCGATGGTGGCCGCAACTCAGAACAGGGTTAGAACTATGATCCAGAGCTACGGTACCGGTACAGCCAATACTTGTAATGCCAATAGAGAACTTGTTGCTGCAAGAGCATCATGGCGGTACTTCAAGTTCTGCTAGCTAGGTAGATAGCACCATGAGCCCAAGTGGCAAGCACGGCATTGTGAGCACCACCCTTTAGAATGGGCGATAAAAGGCACCTCAACGTCAGAATTTAGATAAAACTCTTCAGCAGCTCACAAGATGACGGCCTCAAGCCCGTCAAGTTTTTGCGGCTCGCTTGCTTTTCCAGCAATCAACATCTTGTTTGCAGGATCCCATGGACACTCTTGTGACCTGCATTCCACTTTCATCACTTCTGCCACATGGCCTGATCTAAAGGTCATCCTCCACAAACAGTTTGTTTTTAAGCAAGGGCGGGAATTGCGCTATGTTTCTGGATTCGACTATAAGACGAGACAATGTCTTCTGCGTTCAGCAGAGATTTTTTGCACGAGTCGAGACATTTCCAAAGCCGATTGCCCGCACTTAGGGTCTCGACCCTCCCAAGCCCTCCGCTTGCAGTCCAAGGCTGTAGCCAGCGAGCGGTGCTCTGACATGAGCCCCACAGACTCGACGGGCCTCACCCTATGTGAGCCTGAAGAGAAGTCTGTCCAGCGGGGCAGAGTGTTGGCAATAGGGATGGGCACAGCGGGGGGTAAGATGGTGGCCCACATTGGGGACTGCCTGGCGCAGCAGTCACGCGCGGAGTTTGACGCGGTGGAACTGTGGGCTATGAACACCGACGTGCAAGCATTGAGGGACACTCACGCTCCACACCATCTACAATTGGGCAGTGAGCTGACCAAGGGCCTGGGTGAGTCGCCAGGGTGGTTGCAAAGGGCGCTGGGCGAGGTGGGCAATTTGAACCTGTAAGGTCATCTTGGACCGATCGAGCTCCTCCAGAAATTTCTCGCTCCCCCCGAGAAGTTAAGAATGTTTCATAGGAACTGTCTACTTGCAATAGGGAGGTTGATGACTGGCTCACCCACCTCCTGTCCTCCACTCAGGCACTGGCGGCGACCGCACTGTGGGGGCGCAGGCTGCAGAAGTCTCCGCCGCCGCCATTGCGGAGGTGGTGGGGGGCCGGCCGGGGGTGTGCTTCGTCATCTGTGGCGCGGGAGGGGGCACGGGGGGCGGTGCCTCTCCGCTGGTCCTGAGTGCCGCGCGGGCGGCTGGCCATTTGGCTGTGGCCGTGGTCACATTGCCCTTCAGCTTTGAGGGGCAACGGCGGCTGCGACAGGCCCGCGCCTCACTGGCGGCGCTGCAGGGAGCGGCTGACGTGGTGTTCGGTGAGGGGCTGGCCAGGCGCTCTTGTCGGCACTTTGGGCCAGACAAGATGAGGTTGGGGGCTTGGGGGGGCTTTCTGATTTGGTATGTCTACGTCCGACCATGTGGTCCACTTTGACTTGTGTCAAGTTTGTAGTTCTCACCCCTCCTTTCCTTTGTTGCAGCCATCGACCAGGATGCATTCCTGCAGCAGCGCCAGGACCTGTCCATGACGCAGGCGGCCAGAATGGCGGCCGACCTGGCGCTGCACGCGACGCGCGGGATCACAACTTGCCTCCAGGTGAAATCTTATTCCTGCAGAAGACGGGACGGGCAGGCAACCATGCTTTGACTTGAGCACTTCAATCCTCTGACATGACCATTCATTAGCGCCCTGCCTAGCATGACGCATGCCGCCAGCTTCGGCAAGAATCGCCAGCACCTCGGGTCTGACTTTCGGCGCCCCTATCCTGTCCTCAGGCCGAGGCCGCTTCTCCCCCAGCCCAGCCCGCCAGCTTGTCCCGCTCGCTGCTTCAGAGGGGCGTCGTCCAGGTGGGTTGCTCTCCCACCCACGAGCTGGTCCCTCCTCAACACACTGCCTCACAGAGGACCTCCTCAACAGCTGTCACTAGCCTCCCAAGCGAAGGGCCCCGGCTGACCCTTCTGTCTGGGCCTGCGTGCAGATGCTGAGGGCATCCGGGCGGGCTGTTGTGGGGCACGCTGAGGGCGCCACCCCCGTGCGGGCCCTTCTGGCAGCGCTCCAGGCGCCGGGGCTGGGCAGCCTGCACATGGTGAGACTCCCATCATCCGTCCCAGACGTCTCTTACCCCAGAATGGTCATTCAAGTCACATCACGCTAGGCAAATTGGGGGCCCACAGGAAATGGGCCCCCAACCTCTGGTTGCTGCCTGGTTGACCGGCTCTTGGCAGATCCCCACCTGGTCTGACTCCAGGTCGTGAGCCCGACAGTGTCGTCCGTGGTGCAGTTTGCGAGCAGCGTGGTGTGCGTCCTGAGCAGTGCGGCCCCGCTGAGCCCGGCCCAGGTGCGGGACGCCCGCGCCAGCGCACAGGCGCTCACGGGCGGGCGCATTCCGCTGGTGGTGGCCACACGCCAGGACGCAACGGCAGCAGCAGTGGGCGCCACCGTCATCCTCACAGGGTGTGTCCCCGCGCTCGTCCCACTGGTCGAGGCATAGCCACGAGTCTTTTGAGTCTGCAGCCTGCGAGACATTTGTGCAACTCGACTATTCCTCCTGGACTTCTCCCGCAGTTCTCCTCCAAGCCCTTGAATTTAGATTGTGATCGCGGGCATATTTTGACTCATGTTTCCCGCCTGTGTCTCTGCAGGCTGCCACACGAGCTGGCGGAAGCCCCCGCTGCCTCCACCGCTGCCGCTCGCCCACCGCCCCCCCAAGCACCACTGCCACCCCTGGCAGCGCGAGTGAAGGCTGCCCCCGTCACGCCTGGCCTTCAGGCATCGGCAACTGCACAACGGCAAAAGCCGAACAGAGAAACTGTTACTCAGGCAAGCTTGACGTCTTCCTCCTCGAAAACGCGTGGGAATGCTGCTACCAAGCAAGCCGTTGCGTCGGAGACACGGCAAAAGGACGGCGCGCGCTTGCCCCCTCCACCTGGCAGGATTAGGGTCTGGTCAGCAGGGGGCACGAGCGTTGACGAGCTTTCCAGCCAGCCGAAGGCACAAGACATGCACGGAGACAAGGAGCCGCTGGAAGGGCAAGCGGGGGTACTGGAACCATACAGCAGCATACTGGATGGCCCTCGTAATGGGGGCTACGCTGCCCCCCACAAACGGTCAGAAGAGTCGCCGCGACCCCAAGAGCGAGACTCAGGCCAAGGATCGCGACCTGGGGCCGATGCGATCCACGTGGATCGCGAAGCTGGGCGAGAGAGCAATGGTGCTCAAGCTGCGGGTCAAAAGGATGAGCGGGGAACCGCGGCTCCTCGAGAAAAGCTGTTGGACCAACTGTCGGCAGCAAAGAGTAACGGCACGCCCAACACCCCGGTTCAGGGAGTCGGACCGGTCGGAGCCCCAGCAGATGCCCGCAGGCAGACAGGGCAGAACGGGAGGGCAGGGATGTCAGTGGAAAACGAGAGCCAGGGGGGGGGCGCGCAGGCAGAGACGAGGGCGGGGGCGCAGGGGGCCACCAGGGAACAAGACCACGACAGGGCGAGGAGCTTCACCGCCGCATCTCCCTCGAGGAGCGATGCAACGCAGGGGCCTGCGCAGGCAGCGTGGACCCAGTCGAGGCGAAGGCCAGAGAGCCTGTCGTCGCCCGCGGCAAGAGCGCAACCCACGGAGCGACTCGGGGCGGGACAGGGCGCGGGGAGCAGCCCCGCCGACCAGCTGGACGGTGCTGCGGCCGCGCACGCTGCCGCGCTGCAGTGGTGGCGGGAGGTGGTGGAGGCGCACGCGGAGGACAGCACAGACGACGCAGGGGAAGGACCGGACGAGGACGACGAGGGCGTGCGGGCGGATCCCGAAGAGGGCAGCGCAGCGAGCTCGGTCTCGTCGCGGGCGCGGGCGATCCTGGTGAGCATGCCTGGGGACGCGCTGGCGCTTGCGGCAACATGGCCGGGAAGCTCCATGCAGCTGACCCCTTGTTTGATTATCAGTCTTTGTCAGAATCTTCCTAGCCACGGTCTTCTTTGAAGTTTGCGCAAGGTCAGTCGAGGGTAGGACTAGCTTGTTCGAACAGTTAAGCTATGACTCACTTAGTCATGTGGCAGTACTGAAAACAGAGCTCGTGCAAGCTGGAGTATGTGGGTCGTCGTTGGAGGCAATCGCTCCGTTCATGGTTCAATCATTCGTACCTCCAGTTATTGGTGACTTACTTCCGCTGCTTGCGGGCATATGCTCCAGCTCCGCGTCCGTTAGCGTGAGTTTGATCCTGGAATTGGACACGCGCAGCGGAGGGTGGGTGGATTGCGGGGCACACTCGTATGTGTTTTGGCGCCCCCCTCACAGCCGGATTGAATTCACGCAGGAAGGACTATTGTATGTCAACAATCCGTTTTCACATAACTGACGAGTACTAGTATAGTAGTACCTTGGACTTTCCTCGCTGGTCCCAGGCCGGCTTTCGACAGAGACCAAGGCCTCTCCTAAGTTTCGTATTCAACGGCTGCCTTTCCAATCCGTTCTTCTCTTGTTTGTCTGCCTGTGCCTCCGTCTCTCACCTCGTGTCCCTGTCCCCCCCCAGGCCCGCGAGCGCGACCAGGAGCGCTACCGGCAGGTGCGCGGGCGGCAGGTGCTGCCAGATGGCAGCGAGTACGAGGGCCACCTGGCAGCCGGCCAGCCCCACGGACACGTGAGCCTCTCATCTCCGCTGCCTCTTCTCTCCAGCCAGCCGGCTTCAATTGCGACTGTATCCACGTATCTCTCCCATCATGGCCTCTATCATCGCTCATGGCTTGTCAGTCGCCGTGAACTTGGCGAGGATTATTTTGATTGACTCGTAACACCAGGAGCTGACATGACCTTGCCATAGCCTAAAATTGTTCTGTGCTTTTGGCACCACGACCCCCGCCTCCTGCGTCGCTTGGTTGTCGCCCTCGTCTGTGCGCCCGCCTGAGCGGCCGCCGTCCCCGCCTGCCTGCTGCTCGCAGGGCCGATGCGCGTACCCGGGCGGTGACGTATATGAGGGGGCGTGGAAGAACGGCGAGCGGCATGGCTGGGGCCGTCTCGCCGAGGCCTCCGGTGACGTGTACGAGGGGGACTGGAGGCACGGCCACCGCCACGGCAAGGTACACCCTACCCGACGTTGCCGCACCGTCGGGCCTTCTGCCACAGGGCCTGAGTCGTGCTCGGAAAACCGGTCGCACACTGGTTATCCCACGGGCTCCCCGTCACACTTTTAGTCAAGAGCGCAGAGGTGCTTCGTTCAAATGTGCTACAGCTTGCAAGAGAGCCCCCGCTCACGTCTGCGCGCTGCCGTGCAGGGCCGTGTGGAGTACGCGGATGGGCACGTGCTGAGCGCGCGCTTTGTGGGCGGGCACGTGCACGGGCCGGCCATCATCGCGTTCCGGCAGGGGAGCACCTTCTACGGCGCCTTCGCCTTCAACCGCCGCCAGGGCGTCGCTGTGACAGTGGACGCAAACGGCAAGCGGTACGGCGGCGGACTTTGTGGGAGCACAGAGCGTTTCTGCAGCCAGGTGTCGGGTGATTCCGCTGTTGTCGTGTTGGATCAGGGTAGCACTGCTCATGCCTTTTCCTATGTTTTTGCCAGCTTTTGCTGACTGCCACTGGTTGTTTGCAGTGAGTGGGAGGTGTGGGAGCACGGCCAACGGATCTCTTGACTCTGGCTCATCACCGTCCACACGTAGTGGCACTCAGGTCGGAGAGGTGCACAAAGAACAATATTCCCCAAGCGTAAAAAGGATTGCCTGGTCACAGAACCCAACTTCGGGTACACGGAAATCGGGATGAGCTTGGAAAACGAGCTCGAGTTAAGCCACTTAAGTTGGGTACGCACCATTCTGTGCTCTGTGCTGGGGTTTGCTGTTGCAATGCTTGCATATGAAGACCACAAGCACATGTGTTCAGGGGTTTGCTATCCACTATATAGCCTTGAAAAACGTTAGTCGGCTCAATGACCTGATACTGAAGTGAAAAACCATTTGAGTGTTTCATAATAGTTATTAGTCTCGATTGGACATCAGCTCCGTCGATTAGGGTCCTAGCCAACGGGATAGACTTCTAATCATCGTATTATAGGTCCTGTGACGGTCAGTGCAACAAGATGTGGTGGCTTATGGTGACTGTTGCAGCTAGCGTGCATGCGCCTCGTAATGGACTGCTGTAGCTGCAGCGAATGCACAAGTGGCAGCGCGTTGTGAAAAGCAGCGCGCCGGATAACAAGCATGCAGAGTCGATGCTAAGTTCTTCCCACATGCAGTTTCATTGCAGGCCGTCCGCATATGAAGTTCAACGGTTTCTTTGCCAAGGTATGTTGCACCGTCGTTTTTGACAGGTATGCCAACTATTTCATGCCTAGCTCCGACCACACGCCTCAGCTGCTGTTTCATGCCGCATGTCTAGGTATTTCGACCACATTTGGGTCCATCTCGTGTACATGGGAATCGATGCTGATATGTACCTGTGCCAGCCGCCGCATGATGCAAATCTATGGAGAGCCTATAGCCGGTGAGGCGTTTCGGTCACATTTTTGAGAGAAGCTGGAAGATCACGGAATGCCCTTTGTCCTTCTCGAGCGCGAGGAGGAACTGGACCACTAGGGACCAGGCTCGTTCAATGATGGTGAGATTGATCGTTTAGGACAATCATCCTAGCCGGCTACTACTTGCAGCCAACGCCTGCAGCTAAGAACTCCTGTGCTCACTTTGCTGGGGCAGCTTGAAGCAAGGCCGAGATCGATCACACCAAAACGCTGGTGACGAGTCTTTTATAGCAACACATGCCTCTGTATTGGGACCGTATGAACATGTACAGTTAAGCAATCAGAACTGCAGTAGCTTGTGACCAAACCCAGCTCGCAGACGCGGCGACCAATGCCATTGAGGACAATCCGAGCTTATTGGGTCGAAATTACAATTGCTGCAACGGAAAGAAGGGTGTGTCAGTTGTGCCATGTTGCTTGCATGATGCGGGTCAGAGTTGAGATAAGTGGCAAAAAACAACACTCTCGACAGTGAGAAGCATGGAAGCTGGCTACTATCAGAGCCACGCAAGGCTGCCTGATGGATTCATAAACGGCCGAAAGGTGCCTCACCGCGAAGATCGTGTTGTGGCCGGGGTCTGCCAGGTGGGTTGTCAAGTTGTCAATGGGACCCACTCCGGTGTACACGGCCTGGAAAAAGAAGCCGGCCACTGCACAGACAGGATCGCACATGATTAGGGCCAGAGAAGTAGAAGTTGTGCAAGTAAGGATTGCAAAAAGGTGGAAGCCTATGCTCTGACAGACTGTGTAGCAAATGGAGGAGAAGGCTGGATCAGGCTACGTCGTGGATAGATTATGCAGATTAGATTGCCAGAATACTTACTTGCGAGCATGGCCAGTCTAGCGTTCTTGATCTCCTTCAACTTCAATTCCCCTGCCTGCACACAAGAATCCGAGGTTAGGGCAATGCTAGTAAAGAGGTCATGCTGTTTGCATGAACGGCCGACTGCCTGCGAAAACACATAGTCTCCTTCCCGCTCACAGAGAGTTCGCTTACTCTCTTTCCAAGAAAGTAAGAGTCAAACCTCTTGCATCATTGTAGGACTTGAAGTGTTGCTGTTGGACTGGTGTGCCGTGCGGAACATTTGCTTTTAGATTCAAGAGAAAATCCCACTGGCTTAAGTGGAGCGCACCTTGCTAGAGTCCTTTGCATAGCCGAACGGATCGAAAATTCCCCCAGGGTACCCAACTTCGTTTCCGGAGGGCAGCTTGTTGTTAGGGAAGACGGGGTCCTGCACAAAGATTGTCACACTTTACTGCCTATTTGTTGACAGCGTTGTTGGTGGAAAAATTGCAAGATAAATTTCAACAAGCTATTGGTTAAACAGTTGTCATGAACGAGACCAATGAGTTTTGACATTTTGTCCAAGTAATAAAAGGACACCGTGAGGGCTCAGGTCGACTTTAGGTTTTCGACAGGGCCTATTGGTATCGACATCTCAAAGTAGCACTATGAATAAGGAGCGGCCCTTTCAGGCCGTCACTGCCGCCTGGCAATGCTAACAGACCAAGACCGCACATCTGAGGATTCTTCGACACTTGTGCCCATTCCCAGAAGCAACAGCATCAGCATCAAGTCTCCAACGGGCTCCGCGTTTTGGCTTACTTACCACGTTGACTGAGCCGGGGTTGTTGATGTCTGCCCATCTCCTGATCTCAGCCCAGGCCATCAGGTTCAACTGCACACATGGATTCAACCATGTCAAGCAGCTTGTTTGAGCATTTGGTTTGCAGGTTGCAACACAGCATTCAATTCATCCGGCACCGTAAGCCCACAGCCACACCAATTGGCAAGGTATTCTGCTCTGCTCACCTGGACAATGGTTAGGACCTTCTTGTCAGCGAAGTAATCAGCAGCGCCAGCCTCGTACCAGTGAGGGGTGTGCAGGATGCCAGCCTGCAGGGACACGAGGCTGCAAACTTTAGCCCTCCTACGTAGACGACGCTAAGGCCCGAGGAAGAGAGATGGCTGCCTAGATGACTCTGAACACAGTTGCAGCTGACTGATCAAAGATCTAAGGATGGCCTTGCATTTCAGGACAGCATTCATCACACAGACATGATGCGATGGCGGCCCTTGGCAAAGGCTGTTATTGACACTTACCGAGGTCAGGGCCTCAGGGATGAGGATGCCGGCGGCTCCGAGCATGGCCCACCTGCAGCAAACAAATGGTGAGCAGCTTATCAGGGGCCTTGCTAAAATACACACACGCACAGTTACAAGCGTCTGCAGGGCATCCCCTGTTCAATGTTCTCTTGGCTGGCAGAGCTGTCGGCCCCAGGCTCACCTGCCATTCTGGAGTTCAGCCTGCTGGAACCACTTGAGAAGCTCGGGGTCAGACCCTGTAGGAAGTCAGGAGGAAAGATGAGTCAAGGAGACAACCTGCGCAGCACAGAGTCACAAACTAGATGCAAGTAGAGTGCATTCATTCCAACCAATGTGGCCGCAAACCTGACAGTGAATCTCCGGTGGTCGAATGCAGTCCCTCAAGAGCACGAGTTTGCCCATCCTACACAAAGGTCCTGGTTGGGAAAAAGATATGCACAACTGTCAACAATCTGAGTGCACTTACCAAGGTTGAGAGGGTCAAATCCGAAGTCGCCTGGCAGACTGCAGAAAGCACGGTTGACATGCTCAGAACAGCAGCTCTGCCGCCCTTGTGAACATCCAGAGCAGACGGATCAAGACTATCACAGACAAGGAAAAAGATTGCGAGAGGGCATTCCCCACTTAAGCAGAACCAATCTCACTCCATTTGGAGGACGATAGAGACACTGATTGCAGTTACTGGGATGCACTGATGCAGAAACTTATTGGCTTGGAGATACTGAGAAGAGAGGTGACGTACGAGCCATCCAGGTACTCAGGGGCGGTGGCGCCCGGATACCAGAGCTCGCGGTCTGCTGTGTACTGTCCTTGGGAAGCTGCGGAGATGACACCATTGCCAGCAGCCCGGGGAGCTACGGCCTTCACAGACTTGCGCAGAGTAGCGCCAGACAGGAAGGCAGGCCTGACGGCAATCCTCTGAGTAGTGACAGCCTTAGAAACGCTGCAGGACAAGGTGACAAGAGAGGGACTGCATTAGACTGCGGCACTTACAAAGAAAGCTGCTAGGCAGCTGGAATGAGCATCAAGCACTTCAAAAGCCTCTCACCACAGTCGCATTAAGGAGTACGAGCGACCCGTGCTGTCTTCCCAGCTCCGGAGGTGCTTCCCCACATTCCCCAGTATCCAACTGCTGTACTCTGTTCAGGCTTCATCAACTTGGTCAAGATACAGTAGCCCTCTTGCTATCAGCTGCACAATGCTGCTCCCAACCACCGGAGCAACCCGCCTTGCATTCCATGCTGCATTGCCTCCCATTCACCATGCATATCCCATCAGGCTGCGTGGAGTTCCTGCATAGATCAAATGCAGCGTATGCAAACACAATGCAGGTCGATTTGTCCAGCTTTTTGGCCAGTGGGCGCCTGCCACTGACCTGGTGGCCGCGATGGACCCGGCCAGCTTGGCAGCGACGCACTGAGCCATGGCTGCTGAGAAGGTACCCGACACCCGAAGCTAATGCAATGCGGCAGTATGCACGCAAAGAAGTTTCTCAAGCTGACAGAGTTCCCTGTGTAGAGAGATGCAGGAAAGCAAGGAAGCAGAAGCAAATCTTGCTCGAGGCAGAAGCCAAACACATCGAAGCTCGTCCTCTCCAAAACGACTTGGCCACCCATGTCGGATCCCATTGGTCCGAGCTGGACTTCTATCCAGCATTTGATTGGTTCACTGCCCGACACTTTCCGAATCTGGATTATGCTCGCGCGCACCACTTTTGGACGTCCAACATCCACTCCTCTTCAAAGTGGAGCCATGATCATGATGTGTCCGAGTGACCGACAGTCGGCGTTCCGTCCGCAATCCTCATCAGTCAGGGACCGACGGATTCCGCCCATTTTTGACTGTGTTTTTAGGGTTGTAAAGATTCTTTAGGGTTTTAGCACACAGTCAAACAGCCACATGAGCCTGCAGTGTGCACCCTGACTCTCATGTACTCTTGACTCATGAGTCGCCTATATGCGTTGCCGCAGCACAGCATGCTAGGTAGATGGCGGAGAAGGTGTGGCTCTCGCTGATGTCGCCTGCAGCTGCATCTTACGTGGTGCTCATCTGACAGCGTCCCATGGTAGCCTCCTCGTAAGAAGCGGGCAATCATGCCAGCCAGCATGCTGCCGGACGCTGGTACGGCGCAGCAGGCCCCCGCGCAGCTCATCGTCCAGTCCCTGCTGCAGCGCTTCCTGCCCTTGGCACGCAGGAGGATTGACACTGCCCAGGCGCAGGCGAGCCTCTGCCTATCTCTCCTTCGCTTGCTTGGATAGGTGGATGTGGACATTCTCAGTTGTGGTGCGCAATTCCGCAATTGGTATGTTATTGGACAAACTTAGTGGTGATCAGTGTCCTGTCTATCAGGCTTGCGCCCACTTTCATACTTTTCTTTCATTACACGGTGGTGCAAAATCCTTAGGCTGGTGCGCTCTGCAATTCTGCGTTCTCACTTAGTTCTACAGATTTTTTGAGGTGCAAACGCTTTGAGTAGCCACTTCGCATTCTGTGTGTTCAGCATACATTCTTGGGTTGAACAGCCTAGCTCCTTTTAGTCAGTGGGTGCGTGGAAGTGCAATAAGTTTGTTCGCTTGAGTCCTCCTTGATGTCTCCTTGCCCCTCATTGATCAAGGCCGGCTTTAGACCGTGGTGGTGCGCGGTGCAGGATGGCGAGTACCTGCGGGCCTCCGACCCCGCGTATGAGCAGATCATGGACTCCCTGGCCATGGTGGCGCGGCACACCCCCACCCCGCTGCTGGAGGCACTGCTGGGGTGGCGCAAAAGGTGGGCCATCATTGCTGACTCCAGCCCCAAGTACGCTCGGAGGGGGGATTGGGACCCTGTGCCTTGTGATTGTCTTAGCGCTGTTCTTGTGTGCCGGTTGAAGGTGTTGCAATGTTGCTTCCGGACTTATCTTTTGGGCCTTGTGACTCATTTGAGTGGCTTGATTGTAACGCCAAGGGTCCAAGCACAGTAAGTCCGTTGGCAGACCGACGCTCCCTTCCGTGCAGCGAGTCGCCCAGGCTGGCAGGAGATGCTGCGGCAGTCCACAGGAAGGTGAGGCCCGGCCCACCCTCAACTCTCACGTCACCTTATGGCCTGTTGCAGTCGTAAAATCAAAACACAGGCAGTGATCAAGATGTAACATGCGACAAGTGGCCCAATCAAGTTGCAGATTGATCTTGCAGAATGAAACATGAACGAGGGCCTTGGGCTCACCCTCTTTGTCCTGTGTCTCCAGCTGGCGGTAGAGTGCATCTTCTGTTCTGCGGCTGTCCGCTTCGTGGAAGCGTGCCCTGCGGAGGGACTGAGCGGTGAGTACATGCTTCGTTTGGTCGCACACCTCGATCAAACCCCTCTCCAAGCTGAATCTATGTATCACCGCAAGTCTAACATGGGTGGGCCCTTTGTCTCCTCCTTGCTGTTCGTCCAACACTCTTGGACCTGGCCCACTGATGGCCGTTTGGTGCCTCCTCAGAGTCGCTGTGGCGGGGGCTGGAAGACTGGGTGTTTGACTGGATCATCAATGCGGACAAGTAAGTCAAATGGGCCCTGCGATCATCTCACTTCTTTGGCCTTCCTGGAGGCAAGAACGTACTCGAAACTTGAAAGTTATGTATTTCATCGTCGTTAAGAAGTCTTCGAATTCACAGCTTGAAGGTGTCTCGAGTGGCCAGTGTGCAATTCCAATACTCATCGCGCAAGCTTTGTTGGCTTCTGTTTGGCTTCGCACTAGGCGACTCCTGGGTTACGCTGTTCCTGGTCTGCGCTTACGTCCAGGTTGGTGAGCCACGTGGAGTACCCGTCGCTGGTGGAGCTGCGCGCGCTGCTCCTGGACCTGGTGGCCCAGCTGCTGGGGGCCCTCTCCGGCAAGAGGCAAGCGCAGCACGCCCTCCACACATGCTCGCAGTGCAGCATGTTCGTGTTTATGACGCCAGTGAAGCACGATAAGTTGAGGTCCCCGGACTTGTACATTCACACTGACCTCCCTTCGTAGACTTCTCGAGGCTTCCGTTCTAGTTTTAACTGCGTCGAATCGAATGCAAATATGGGATCAGAAACGTTTGAAAGGTTCTGGCCGCCTTCAACTGTCAGAGCGGCCTAACGGCCCTTCTCGGAGAAAACTCGTGAAGAAGGCTCAGAGAGACTGACAGCGGTTTAGGATCGGGCCAGGCCAAGGATGTGGACAGGTTTTCAGGCTCAAGTGCAGCTGTTTCAAAAGCTAGCCAAACTGGTATCTCGAGATATTGATCAAGTGGAGTCCTCTGTGACTGCCAGAATGTTGTGGTCGACAATTGGACGGTCGATAATCGCCAGACTGTACGCTCAACCCTTTCGGCTTCTAACTTCGAGCTTTCTCCCTGCGGAAGACTTTGCAGGAGCCAATGAGGAGCATTGCGCTTGCAGCAAGATCGTTTTCTTGCCCGCACCGTCATACCCTCAATCCAAGACGTTGTGAGGCCATGACAAACCCGCAGCCTGACTGTTTCTACGGTCCATCTCATGAATCGTCCTCTTGAGCTCCGCCCGAACCACTCACACCCACGCTTGTGTGTCCAGGTTCGGGTCCGCCTCGAGCCGCCTCTTCACGGAGCTGAACCTGCGGCGCGGGGATAGCAGCGGCCAGCGCAACGAGACGCTCAGCCTCATCAGCGGAGCGCGCTATCTCAGGCTCGATGTGAGGCCTCCCCTACCCAATATTTTACCACCGATCCCGTGGGACCCTAACTCGCCCTTGTGAGAGCGGCCAGGAAATGTTCATATCTGGTGATCAGGACAGGGCTGGCCAAGACTGCATTTGAACACGCCGTTTTGCGGGGAGAAAGAAACGTGTCTCATTCCGGGCGGGCCGCCTTCCAGCTTTTATTCAAGTCCTGGTTCCTTACACCTGCCTGATTGGGTGTCTTGCTTGGTGCAGGTGTCGAGCGCCAGCACTCTGAACGCGTCCACGTCGTTCCTGCTCAAGGCGAACCCCCTGTCGTGGACCCCCAGCAAGAAGCGCACGGAGCTGCACCACGCGCTGTGCAGCCTGCTGACGTCCGTGCTGGTGCCGCTGGTGGAGGCGCGTGGGCGCTGGCCGCCCCGCCACGTGGACGAGGCGCTGCGCCTCTGGCACGAGGCCGTCCTCAAGCTGCGCACGCAGCTGTCGCAGTGGGTCGACAAGCACAGCAAGCACATCATGGTGCGCACCCGCTGGAGGCCGCCCTCTAACGCCTGCTTGCCCTACAGGCCTCCATAGACGCTCCGCCATGATCCTGTGTAAGGTTAGGCTGGTGCGGCCAGATTCGACATCCCTCTGGTCCAAGTAGTGGTCCCTGCTCGCCTGCTTGTGACGGTTTTGCGGTGGTGGCGTGCAGGTGGGGTACCCGCTGGTGACGGTGCTGCTGTGCGTGGGCGACCCCGCCCTCTTCACCATGCAGCTCCCGCCCTACCTGGAGGCGCTCTTCAAAGTGCTCAAGGTGCGGCCTGGCGAACGGGTAGCCGCTCCTCAAATTGCGGCAGCAATCCTTCCTCTGCAAGCATCATGTTTTCGTCTTTCCTAGTCCAGTCCCTAGCTTTCGCGAAGCTTTTTGAATGACATCGAAGCCCCCCTTCTTCCTGCGCCTCGCAGTGCACAGTCTCTCGTCGTGCCTTCGTTCATCTGTGTGTCTCGCATCGTCGTGCAGGAGAAGGCGTACCGCTCGATGGCGCTCGAGTGCCTGCAGCGGCTGGTCCGCTTCTACCTGGAGGTGCACGCGGCCCGCGAGGCGCGCGCGGTGACGGTGGGCATCCTGGCGGGCGTGACGGGCCACCTGCTGGCCAGCCTGCGCAAGGGCAACCTGCCGCTGGAGGCGCAGCACGACAAGCTCGTGCACTTCTGCGCCACGCTCGCCGACAGCCACCTCGACTTCGCCATGAACAGCATGCTCCTCGAGCTGCTGCGCCCCGACAACCCCCCCGAGGCCAAGGTACGATTATGCGGCGCACATGTGACCGCAATACTGCCGCATGCACTGGCAATTGTCACGCCACAGGCTCCTTTGCCGTTCCTTGACACCTTCTCTGGGCCAGCCTTGAATCGGACTAGTGTGTACGGCCTTTTACGCGTAAGTCTTTGAGTAGGGCGAGTTGAATGCTTATCTAGTTGGAAGAACCACCGAGCGACCTTCCGGAATCGATTGTTGCCTCATTGTCGTCCCCCTTCCAGGTCATTGGCCTGCGCGCCCTCCTGGCCATCATGCACTCCACGTACGGCCTGTCCTCTGACGCCGCCGCCCCCCAGCCCGCCTCCTTCTCTCTGTCCCTCTCCTTGGGCCAGCCCCCTGCGCCTGCCCGCGCCCCGCAGCCGGCGGCGGTGGCCGCTCTCGGGGCGTACCTGCCGCAGCTGCGCGCAGCACTGGGGTCCATCATGCACACGTGCCACCTCATGTTCGGGCAGTCGCTTCTGATCGCGTCCAAGACGTCGCAAGGTGAGGGGGAGAACTCTAAGCGGAGGACTTTGTGCTGGCCTTGCTCGCATCAACTTGAGGATGTTAAAAGAAGAGTGAAGCCTCGAAGGCAGTTGAGCAGGTACTGCAGACTGCGCATGTCGTTGAGACCCGTTCGCTTCTTGCAGCCGCTCTGCTCGACATCTTCTGAAGCAGGGCTCGACGGCACCAGCCGAGTCAGCGCCTGGCAAAAACCACCATTCGTCTGTCAAGTACGAGCTGTGCCGTCTTGTTGGTGGCCCAGCTGCTGGCTCACCTCTTTGCTGATGTTTCCTGCAGAGCCGGTGACCAAGGAGCGCACGCAGCAGTGGGTGGTGTTCCGGTGGGCGCTGCGCTGCGTGCCGGCGCTGATCCCGGAGCAGTGGCACGACAACAAGATGACGGAGACAATCCCCGTGTACGCCATTAGCGTGGAGCCCGCGGTGCGCGAGGAGGCGGTGCAGGTGCTATTTCGCACCGTGCGCGACCTGCCGCAGAGCCGCTTCGCCGTCATGCGCGGCATGGCCAACTTCATCCTGCGCGTATCCGACGAGTACCCCGCGCTCATCAATACCTCCCTCGCGCTGCTCGTCAGGGTGAGCCCGCCCACCGGACGAGGCTCACGAGCTCGTTCGAATCCTTCCGCTCATGTGTCTGCAGAGATTGTCACGCAAGTACTGCGATTGATTGAAAGTGGTTCGCATAAGTACTCCAAACAAAGTTATTTTAGACACGGATCCGTTTGGAAAGTTGATGCTACTTCTAGGTCCACTTTTCGCAAGATTGGCACCCTAACACGTTGACTCGTGGCCCTGCATTTGCCCCTCCCAAGTCAGGTTGCCAAAGTCTGCTGTGTCATTGTCCTTACAGCTCCTGATCGCGTGGCGCTCGTGCCTGCTGGAGGAGGCCTCTCGTGGCGCCGGCAGCCCCGGCGCGGTGCGCGGCGACCGCGAGGGCTTCAAGGACGAGCCGGTGGGCACGTTCGACCCGTCCGGCATGGACGCCGTAGGGCTCATCTTCCTCTGCTCCGTCGAAGTCCAGATCCGCCGCGTCGCGCTCGAGCTGCTCTACGTGGTGCGAGCCCTACACCACGACCTGGCCGCGCTGGCTGGCGCAGGCGGCCGGGACGGCAGTAGCGGGGCGCTCGAGGACGAGCCTCCGCCGACGTACGTCATTGACATCATCGAGGAGGTGGGCGACGAGATCGTGGCGGGCGCGTTCTTCGACACGGGCAAGTGGACGGAGGTGCTGCGGCACGAGGGCGAGCCCGTCCCTGCAGACGCGAGCATCGTGGGCGTGCTGGAGGGCGGCGACAAGGGGCGGTGGGGCCGGTGCCTGAGCGCGCTGGTCAAATACGTGGCGCAGCTGTGCCCCAGCTCGTGCCAGGGCGCGCGCCTCGAGGTGGTGGCGCGCCTGTCCACCATCACGCCCGTGGACTCGTTCGGCAAGCCAACGCCGTACACGTACAGCCTGGAGAGCGAGAGCAAGATCGAGCAGTGGCACCTGTACTGCATGTTTGCGTGCGCGTGCCCCGCGGAGGACGCCGTGGACGGCGGCGTGCAGAGCGTGCGCGAGCTGATGCGCCTCGTGATGCCGTGCCTCAAGAGCGGCAACGACGCGCAGCAGTACGCGGCCATGAGCGCGCTGGGGCACGCGCACCCCGACATCTACGGTATCATGATGAGCGAGCTGGACGCGTTCGTGGAGGACGTGGCGGCGGGGCGGCTGGAGCGGCCCAAGTGGGGCAAGAGCCACAAGCCGGTGCGCGACGAGGTGCGCATGTGGGTCGCGCAGATCTACCGCCTCGTGGCCGAGAGCCTGTGGCCCGGCCAGCTGGCGCGCCGCCCGGAGCTGGCGGAGGCCATGATGCGCTTCATCGAGGACCAGTACAAGGTCATCAACAGCACCACCACCGAAACGTTCGCCGAGGCGCAGCCCGTCAGGTGAGCGCGGGAGTGAGGATTGACGTTGACAACGCGGCGCAGCTCTTTTGTCAGCATGTACGCTGGTTCACCCAGTCAGATGCACAAATCTCCTGTTGAAGACTCACACTGCGAGCAAGGAGGTGTACTCTTTCGAGTGATCAACGAGTCTCAAGAGTTTCGTTGCTACTTGAACTGTGCTTCACTTCATATACTCGCTCTCAGCCTACTTTCGGCTGATGTACGTGTCCCCGTCCTGCCTCGCTAATGTGCAGGTACGCGTTGGCAGCCATCCTGCGAGTTCTGTCTTCCGAGCTGGCGGCGGTGCTGCCGGAGCGCTTCAGCGCGCGCACGCGCAAGCGGCTGTTCGACCTGCTGGGCAGCTGGGGCGACGACGGGGGCGGGCTGTACCAGAGCGGCGAGCTGGCCGGCTACGCCGACTACCGGCGCGAGGTGGACAAATTCAAGACGGCGCAGAGCCTCAAGATGCGCGAGAGCCAGGACAGGATGGCGCTCGACCGCGACCTCGCCGACCAGGTGCGCCGGCGCGCGCTGGCCGGGCTGCCATCCGACGGATGAGCTTCACCTGAGAAGCTGGTTGTTGCTAACGGACCTGCAATCACTTCAATCATGATTTCGTTGCCGTGCTGGTCCAATGCTGATGGAAGGCATTACTCCAACCATTGATTCTGCACCCCAGTGCCATGTGACCACTTCGCGGCTCCCCTTCTGCCCGTCCCCCGCTGTTCCCTGAGCGTGGCTGCGGCGGCCTCCCGTGCAGGTGGAGTGCATTCAGTGGGCCGCCACGAACGCGATGGCGGCGCTGCTGTACGGCTCGTGCTTCGACGACACAGTCAAGAAGATGAACGGCCGCGTCATGGTGTGGATCCACGGCCTCTTCACGGGCACCAGCGACCGCGTCCCCATGGGCGGCAACTACTCGCCCGGCGACCCGCGCACGCCCTCCCCCCACATGCGCACCGGCTCTTACGCCGGCGTCATGGCGTCCTCCGTCTTCGGCAGCACCACCACGCTGCCGCGCAGCAAGAGCGGGCTGGGGATGGGAGGCCCTGCCATGGCGGCGCGCATCGGGGTGGCGCGCACGGCGCTGCTGAACCTGCTGCTGACCAACCCGGACATGTTCCACTCGTGCATCGACCAGTGCTACTCCTCCGACCCCCCCATCGCGGATGGCTACTTTGGCGTCCTCGCAGAGGTGCGGCCCCGCAGACTGGTCCAAATTCGCTTTGCTATCTTCTCATCTAGCAGCAATGTCGGCTCCATCTTTTCAAGCCATCGGTCAGGTCGACTGTCCAATCATCCTTTGGAAACGTGCACAAAAGTTGCTTGTTTTAGCCACCGACCCGTGCTGCGTGCTTGGTCAGGTGTACTTGCGGGAGGCAGTGCCGGCGTGCGACGTGCCAGTCCTGCTGAGCCTGATCCTGTACAAGGTGGTCGACCCCAGCAAGGCCGTGCGCGACGACGCGCTGCAGATGCTCGAGACGCTCTCGCTGCGCGAGTGGGCGGGCGAGGACGCGGGCAGCGCGGGGCGGTACCGCGCGGCCGTGGTGGGCAGCCTGCCCGACAGCTACCAGCAGTACCAGTACCAGCTGAGCGCGCGCCTCGCGCACGACCACCCCGACCTCTCGGAGCTGCTCTGCGTCGAGATGATGCAGCGCCAGCTGGACGCAGTCGACATCATCGCACAGCACCAGGTGCGGCCGCGGAAAAGCAGGCGCTGGCAAGGCTCGGGACTGCGTTTAAACATAAAGCTAAGGGGCTGTCTAGCGCGTGTTGGATTGCGAAGAGTTAGTGCCCCTTGTACGAAGTACCTCTCCATGAAGGGTAAGTCAAACAGAGTCGCTTTCGTAGGCCATATCTTCTACCTCGAATCGAATTGACCTGGTGAGTCTTCCTGTTCGCCACGCTGCCTCAGAACAGTGAAGATTGCCGTCTGTTGCGCGCAGGTGCTGACGTGCATGGCCCCGTGGATCGAGAACCTGAACCTGGTGGCGCTGTGGGAGACGGGGTGGGCGGAGCGGCTGCTCAAGAGCATGTACTACGTGACGTGGAAGCACGGCGACCAGTTCCCGGACGAGATCGAGCAGCTGTGGAGCACGGTGGCGCACAAGTGGCGCAACATCATCCCCGTCCTCGACTTTCTCATCACCAAGGGCATCGAGGACTACGACTCGCAGGGCGCGGGCGAGATCGGCGGCGCGCTCTCCACCTACTTCAGCGTCGCCAAGCGCATCAGCCTGTACCTGGCGCGCATCTCGCCGCAGCAGACGATCGACCACCTGGTGTACGAGCTGCAGCAGCGCCTCCTTGAGGACGACCTCGACGACGCGCACGCGCCGCCCCTCCTCCCCGACGACCTGCCCCCCGGCCGCGCCCTCGAGTTCTCCGCGCCGCCGCCCGCGCCCGCGTTCGACCAGTCGCCCACCGTGGTTGGCGGCCCCGCCCACATGTCGCCCATTCGGAGCTCGCGCACCTCCTTCGACTTCTCCAGGTGCGGGCCCTTGCCGCGCCGCCCGAGGCTTGTCTCCTCATCCTTCGACCGTGCCTTATTCAAAGCAATCTCCTCCACTTTGTGTTGCCATGTTGAGGACCCTGGCTGCTGCTTCCCCCGCTTGTCTTGCTGCTTCCCCTTACTGCTTTGCCGCCCTGCTGCCTGCAGGCACCTGTCGCGGGCGAGCTTCGACCGGCTGGGCAGCGGGGGCGCTGCAGGGCGGCCCTTCAGCAGCATGCGCAGCCTGAGCGGGCCGCGGCGGTCGGCGCACATGCCCACTCTGTCGCGCGACAGCGGGGACTTATTCGTGGACACGCCGGGGTCGTCCGTCGAGGACGTGCGCGTCAGCACACCGCTCAGCCACCACCACCACCGGCCGTCCGCAAGTGAGCACCACAGCGGGCAGTTTGTCGTTGCGCATGCCGCGCTTTGCACTCTGAGTTGCAACAACATCATGATACAGTTGCTTGTACAGCGGGCAAAGAGGTCGAGAAAGCTCCAGAGAAGTCGGCCGTGGTGCGTGGCTTGTCTCACCTGCTGCCTGTGCGTGCCTGCTGCAGGCGCTGGGCTGCCGGCGGCGCTGTCCCGGGCGGACCTGGCGCTGATCCTGCTGGCGGAGATTGCGTACGAGAACGACGAGGACTTCCGCGGCCACCTGCCGCTGCTGTTCCACGTGGCGTTCGTGAGCATGGACAGCCGCAGCGCGCTCGTGCTGGAGCACTGCCAGCAGCTGCTGGTCAACCTGCTCTACTCCCTTGCGGGCCGACACCTCGACCTCTACGAGGCCGCCGGCGGGGACACTGCGGGCAACCACAAGAACAAGGTGAGGACCGAGACAGACCGCAGCACACTCCGGATCTCACAGGCTGGCACAGGCTGACCACGCTGTGAAGTCTTTGTGGCTCGTCCCCGGCACTCTGTGAGGAGGGTGATCTTTGTGTTGTCCTCGCCCTTTCCACTTCTCTTGTCCTCTCTGGAGTCAGTCGAGCAGACACTTTGAAATCTCATTGTGCACCACAAAGAATGTCTGAACCCCGTCCGTTGGATCATCTGGGCGGTGCGCTAAGTGGGTGTGCGTTCGGTGTGCAGGTGGTGACGCTGATCAAGTACGTGCAGAGCCGGCAGGGCGCGCGCATGTGGGAGCACGAGGCCATGACGCTGAGCTCGACGGAGCTGCCGAGCGCCATCCTGCTGGGCAGCCTCGTGAAGTCCGTCGTGGACGCAATCTTCTTCCAGGTGATTGGCCCCCGCCCCACCGCAACCACAGCACGCCTGCATGCCGGCGCATTGGCCGCAGCCCTAGTTTTCGGCCTGGCCGTCTGACAAGGACTGCGCTCCAGAAGGAATGCTGCTGATAATCTCAGTGGCTGGCGAAACGTCAGGAGGCACTTGCAGGCATGATTACTGTGAGTCCCGACTCCCTTTTCTAGGACCATCTATGAGTTTGCTCGCTGTGTTGCTGGGGTGCAGGGCGACCTGCGCGAGCTGTGGGGCGCGGAGGCGCTCAAGTGGGCGCAGGAGTGCGCGAGCCGGCACCTGGCGTGCCGCAGCCACCAGATCTACCGCAGCCTGCGGCCGCCCGTGAGCAGCGACACGTGCGTCAGCCTGCTGCGCTGCCTGCACAAGTGCTTCGCGCACCCGACCACGCCCGTCCTCGGCTTCGTCATGGAGGTCCTCCTCACGCTGCAGGTCAGCAGCGGGCCTCAAAACCTGTGCTCGTGTATCAGGTTCACGAGAAAGATGAGCACACTGCGGGCGTCGTGCATCATCATTCCGGCCCGCTCCTCGCTCTACACGTGAACAGCGGTCCTCTTGGGACCAGACACCACTCGAGCTTCAGCATTGCATGGGGCGGTGGGACTACCTTGATTAAATCCTGTTTTGAGCGTTTAGACGATCTGGGCGGCTGTCTGCGGCAGCAGCCGTCCTCCTGTGAGACCGCTGCTAACCCCAACCTTGATGCTGCGCAGGTGATGATTGCGAGCATGGCCCCCGAGAAGCTGATCCTGTACCCGCAACTGTTTTGGGGCTGCGTCGCGCTGCTGCACTCGGACCTGGTGCCCATTTACACGGCCGCGCTGCGCCTGCTGACCGCCGTCATGGATCGCCTCGCCGTGCACGACCGCACCGCGCAGACCGTCCTCCTCTCCAGCCGCCCCACCCCCGACCCTGCGCCCGCCTTTTCGGGCGCCGTGCCCCCTCTGACCCCCACCGCTGTGCCAAACGGATCGTCCACCGCCGATGCCCCCGTCGCCGTAGAAGGTCTGCCTCCGGCCGGGAAAAAACCCGCCTCGCCCGCGTTAAACAAGGCCTCGTCTGAGAGCTTGAGCACGGAGGCGAGCTTCGTGTCGGCGTCCAACGCGAGCGTGGGCCTGGTGCGCGGCGCCAGCGGCAACCTGGGGGCCAGCAACCGGAGCCTGCCCACCCTGGCCGACGTCGTAATGGAAGACACCGCGCCGCCCAACCCCGAGACGGCTCCCGCGGCGCCCCCTCCCGCAGCCCTGTTTAACGACATGCAGCCGCTGATCCTGAAGGGCCTGCTGTCGCCCGTGAGCCATGCCGCAGCGGTCGCCGCGCTGAGCCGCATCACGTTGCTGCCGGGGGACGCCATCTTTGGTCCAGCGGCGACGCGGCTGCCCATGCACATCACGGGCCAGCTCCCTTGGCTCTGCCTGCACGTGCGCAGCGCCCCCCCCGCCGGCCCCGCGCCCCTTACCGAGGTCCAGCCGGGTTCGCCGTCTGCCTGGGGCGACGCCTCGCCTGGCGGAGGCTGGGGGGCAACCGGCAGACCGGGCGTCTCTTCGGGGGCAGGCGAAGAACCAGAGCCGCGGAGTGTGGCGAGCCACCTGGCGCAGGCGTGCCGGGAGCAGGGCCTGACTGACCTGGCCAGCGTGTTTGGCGCGTACGCGGAAGGGGGCTACACATCCGCGGAGCAGCTGGTCACCCAGGTGGGCATGCGCACCGGCGCGTCCCTGAGCGGTCTTTCAGGGTGTCCGCCCTGTCAGCACAGCACCTCGCATACTGGACATTGAGTCAGCTCGTATCTGGTCTCCCCGCGTGGATCCCTAAGTTGCTTCGATGAATCGATTCTACGAGGCAAACCAGCCTGTTGATTGCACCGTGTCCTCGCGCCGCCGCCCTTTTCGAGCAGGCCCTCAGTCTAGCCCCTCTTTCTGTGTGCGCCAGGTGGCCCCCCTGGTGGGCGCCGCCTTCTTCCCCCGCCACGCCGGCCCCGCGTTCGTGCACCTGCTGCGGCTGCTGGAGCGCGGCCCCGCCGAGTACCAGCTCGTGGTGCTACTGCTGCTCCGCGCGCTGCTCGCACTGGGGCCCCCGGCCGCCGGCCAGGGCAGCTCCGTGTACCGCGCCGTGTCGCGCCTCGTGGAAGGGCCCCTGTGCGGGCCGGCGCTGGCCGTGCTGGAGGCGGCGCTGGTGAGCACGAGCGGCGAGCGCGTCCTCCTGCACGCCTCCTCCGACGGCCTGCACAGCGCCGCCTCGCTGGGCAAAGCCCGGGGCGCGCAAGCGCACAACTTCCCGTCGCCGTCGCGGGGGTGGCAGTTCAGCAGCATGGGGGAGGGGATGGGCGAGAGAGAGGCCGCAGGGGGTTGGGGGTCGAGCGGGACGGAAGCGCTGCCAAGCCGGGAGGAGGCCCTGCAGAACACGACGCAGGCGCTGGGGCTGGTGCTCAAAACGTACGGGCCCAGCCGGCGACGCGACGAGCGGCGGCTGATCCCGTTTGTGACGGCCGGGGGAATTGTGCCGGGCAGCCCCGCCAGCAGGGCCGCGAATTGGACGTGACCGGGACAATTGAAGTCACCGCACAGCTACGATAAACTGCTTACGAGCCTGGCTGGCCGCTGCATGAATTGTTCGGAAAAGATGTCGCAGGAAACCGCTTTGCCTAGGGGATGGCAGACCTGCTACTTATTTCCGCATCGGGCCAGACTATAGGGTCAGGATATGAGATACTTATACAGATTCAGCGCAAGAAGCGGCACGGGGTGGCCGACCCACAGGTGAGAAGCAGGGGTGACTCAGCAAGCCTTCGGCATAGGAGCTGTTGAAGCCGCTTCGAAGAGGAGTGCTCTGGAGTTTTTACTACGACGCTCCTGTCGCTTGCAGCTCGCTTTGCAGACTCTGTCCTTGTCTGAAGCAGTCCATTCCGGCTCTGACTTGTTCGTGTGCTTTCCTACAGGCTACCTACAGTCCTTCACTCCGAGATCAGAAGACCCGTTAAGAAGTCTCAAATCGATTGAGCTTTTTGAAGTGAATACAGTTGCACGCAGATTATCAGCTCTGTATACAATACACCGTCAAGTAGATGGTCACAGTCGAGGATAGGTCAGGTATTTGTGCGCAGTGACGTTATAGGGGTAGCTTGCTAAAGTTGGCCTCTTGTTCGGACGAGGGGAGCTTCTTCAGCGGGAAGCCCGCTCGTGCCAAGTACTCTTAAGGAGCTGCTTGGCACCGCTATGAGATTGGAAAAATTGGTGATTGCATTGCGTTATGCATGTGATCTGTCCAACACAGCGGTGCTACTGCGAGTTGCTGACTCTCCGCCACCTGTACATTATACAAATGTTGCACACTAGTTCCAACGGTTCAAGTTCATGAAATTTCCGTGCCACAATGTATACCATTGATAGCTAGCGGACCGTACGCTTATGATCATAATGTCAAGGCGCAGTTCTGCTTCAGATCTCATGGCACAGATCTGCTCTACTTCTGTCACAGTGTCGAAGTGCAAATCTGCTCATGATATCGATTCATGTGGGTCCAAAAACATGGGTGAGAGCTTCTAAAGGGGTCGCATGCCAGGTACTACCCTCCGGCGCAAAAGTACCCCGTCCAGAATCTCAACCAATGGCCAATTTGGCAAGGAATCCAGGCTTCCGATCGTTCGACAACAGCGCAGGAGGGGGGAACCTTCCGTGCAAGACACGGGCTCAGGCCATGCCGGGCGGGCATGCTTTTTACTGAGGTCGACCAAATGCATATTAGCGCAGTCGTGGTGTCTCCACCTGATGACCCTACCGAGCTGGTATGCTCAAACTGTATACCCCAAATTGACATACTAGTCAGATCATGCTCGGAAATTGCTGCCTAAAAACCTCGACGCGGGCATGCATTCTGCCCTGCTGCATGCTCCGTTTGCCGCAGCTTCATGCAGACGTGTGGGCCGTCCAAATGCAATGATAGGCAGGCGCAAAGCAATGCAAGCCAGGCCAAAGCTCGGAACTGATTGGGACATCGATGATCACCTCCAAATTCAGTCTTGATCTTGCTTGTTTGCACCTATGCGGTAGTAGATTCCAAAAGCACTTCGTCACGGTGCTAGATGAAAGATTAAGGGAGCCGACTAAAGTATGGAAATAACCTCTTCAAAGAGTACTGAATGGCAACCCCGGGGCTCATGAACTTTGGCTACTCAGCAATTGCGCCAGCACATCGTCTGGCTGCTTCGTTTCCTCGACTTGCGCTCCAGCCCCGACCTTGGATTGCACGCTGGCAAGTGGGCGGGGCGCCAGCAGTTCGTGGAGCAGGATGCCGGCTGCCACGCTCACATTCAATGAATCTACCACCACATCCCCGCGCCTGTCAGCCAGTCGCTCGTGGATTCCTTCGTCGTCGCTCCCATCGCCGTCGTCATCACCCTCGCCTTGAACTACGTCGACCTCATCTCTATCGTTCTGAACGGAAGCATCTAGGATGGGAAAGGCCGTGCCCTTGCCGGCTATCCGAACGAACCCAGAACATGCTCGACGAACGTTCGTCCGAAGGCCAACGCCCTGCACAAGGAACGGAAGGAGCTGAGCTGGACGACATTTTTGCCGTTCAGGCCGGTCGTCAGGAATCCCATCATGAGCGCATTGCTTGCCCTCCCACTTCACGAAGTGAAATCGAGTGTCTGGTAAGTGTCCAGTGGGCCTCCTCGCTTCATCAAACTTCCTCCGACAGCGACTTTTTCAGGTCGGCACCGGGGTAGAGAGCAGTGTGTGTCCTCACCTCGTTGCCTAGCACAATAATGGAGGGGACCCCTTTGGGCAGTTCCGTGATAAGTGGCGCATCTGGGTCTGCGCTGGCCCCCAGCACCCGCCAGCCGTCCTGCACCGCCAGCTCGAGAGTGGTGGGCATGTTGTCGCAGCTGAACACCTCCAGCGCCTCCGCGGCGCCCGCGCTCGCCTTGCTCACCACCGCCCTGAACAATTAAACACATGGCCTCCACCGTTTACTCCTTGCAATGCTTATCACGTGACAATAATGCAGAGGGGGGCCGCCCGACCACCATGGGCGGAAGAGGGGCCAGCCGTGAGCTAATCCTACCTGAGTTTTATCACAACCTGTCTCACTATGGTTTGCCACACGGATTTTTTTTGAATATTGGCATGCAATCGCGACCCCCCAATCTCGACTTCCCAACTTCAGTGTTCATTGCCAGGCTGTGTCTCCGCGGCACGAGCTTACGTGAGTGGCGAGGAGTTCCTGGCGCACGTGAGCACGCCGGCGGCCCCGAGGAAGTAGGCGGACCGCAGCACCGCGCCAAAGTTCTGGGGATCCACCACCTCGTCCAGCGCCACCCACACGGGGGCAGCCGCTGAGGGGGCCGCCTCGGCTGGCGGGGGGGGCAGCTCGTCCAGCCCAGTGAAGCCAAGGGGGGCAGCGTCGAGAACCAGCCCCTGAAAATGCAGGAACAATCGCATGAGCATGTGGTACAAGGATGCAGCAGAGCTCTGCACCTTGGGCCGCTAGCTTGGGAAGCTGGACACGGCATGCGGGGTGGCAAACATCAAAAGACAGCGTTGGCGCCACGCAAACGAGCCACTTGCAAAGCCTGCAATTATTATACTGAAGTCTGCCCGAATCACATGCTGGCGAAGGCGCTGCACTGCCAGGGGCCGGGCGGGAGGCGCGCACCTGATGGGGCCGGTTGTCTGCCAATAGGTTGAGCGTGTGCTTTGACGCCTCTCGGAGCGCCGCGCCCGCTGCCTGAGCCTCCTGTTTGATGCGTTCAACCGCGGCCTTGTCGCCCTTCTTGCGCGGCCGCAGGTTCTCCTGGACAACACCAAAAAAAGTGCGCCACAATCAGTTGAAGTGGAAACATGTTAACTTGCCAGCCATACAGAACGGGGTATTAATCAGGGCTTCAGCTTTACAACGCTCGGTCTCCACGTTCCAACTAAAAGCGTTGCCCTGTGACTGTGCACTGGACAGCCCAGCCCAGTGTTGTGTGTCTGTGTCTGACCTGCACATACAGCGTGAACAGCTCGCGCCTGCCCGCGCGGATGGCCGCATGCACTGGCGCAACCCCATACAGCACCTCGCCGCTCAGCTCAATGCCCCCCCGCACTAGAGGACCCACTTCCTCCTCCTCCCCAGGGCGCCCCCGCCCCCTGCGGTAGTCCTGCCTGCCCCATTCATTCTCACCGCCCCAAGCCTGCCGCTCTGGCTCTGCGTACTGCCCCTGGCTTCTGCTCGCCGCACCACCACCACCACCGCTGACGTCCCTCCTGCTACTCGCAGACCGCTGCTCCCCGCCCCTCCTCCCTCGCTCGTTGTACTTACTGATTCCTGGCCTCATCCTGTCTCTGCCCCCTTGCTGCCCCGCTGGCCTCCTTCCGTACTGGTTGCCACCACCACCACCACCACCATCAGCATCGTCCCACATTGGAGCCCCTGGCTCACTGGCAAAGTCTCGCCTCTGCCTCGTGTACCCCTCCTCTGCCATGTAATCCTCCATTTCCTCCTGCCCTTGCTTGCCTGCCGGCCTCCTCCTCTCAACCTTGTCCAGGTACTCGCCCCATTCTCCATCCCACTCTGCCGTCTGTGAGCGCCGCCTGGCACCACCTCCACGTGAGTCGCTGCTACGATTGTATGACGTGCTGGCCCTGCCCCCCGTACGATCGCTGGGCCCCGGCGCGGTCTCCCGGTCGTCCACTTGTCCCCATTCGTCAATGTACTCTTTGCGTGGTGGTCGCGAACCTGTATTCAGGTCTTTCTCTGCCCCATATGTTCTAAAAGAACGAGCACCACCGTCAGCATTCCAGTCATTGTTGGTCCGTCTGGTTGGACGTTCAGAGTAAGCACCACTACGACCGTTATCATTCCAACCGCCGCCAGCCCCTCTGCGCTGATCCTGCCCCTGCTGCTCGTTTTCCTGCGGATCAGCATCCTCCAACCACAAGCTCTTCCCGGCCCCCCGTGCTCCGCTGCCACTCTTGCTTCCCAGTGTCCTCCGGACTGTCCAGCTTGAAGACCCAATTGGAAGAACCTGCGGCAATTGCAAAAAGGGCACCCGCTTCAGAATGCTTCTTTCTGCAGTCTGAGCGGCCAAAGGCGCCATGTGCCATGACTTCCGTACAGCACAACTCCACATGGTACAGACTAGCACTTCTGCAATGGCGCTGCGGTGGTTGCAAGTCGCGGACGTTTGAGGAGCAGAGACTTCCCTCCTGAAGCCTGTGAAGGTGCCAGACACAAGGAAACCTTCAGACTTCAGTCTCCAGAATAGGGAGCCAGGCGCTGCCACACTGACAGTGCCACAGTCCACTGCCACTTGCTGCCACCCCATGTTAAAGGCCCAGGGTTCCGTTGTTTTCGGAAAGCAGTACCAATGTGCCGCGATCAGTATGTAATTGCACTTAGTCTATTGTATCAAGGTTTAATCTAAACTTTACAACGACAGCCAGGGGGTAGAACCCGGCGAATGTGGCCGCGAGGGTGGCCGCAGTGCAACGTGACTTCCCTTTTTCGTGGAATGTAGGAAGTTGGGACCTGGCTGACCGGTATCAGGCCTACCGGGCAAGGAATTGTTTTGCCGGGCGCAATCGACGCAACCCGGTACCATCAGCCATTGGTCTGCAATTTAAGGTTAAACAGCTCTTGTTCGACGCCAAACCTTCGATGTTCGCCGAACTCGTTGGGTAACCTATAAGTACATGTACCAATTTGAAGGACCGAAATAAGAAAGAAATTGATTGGCCAGCGTGCATTGCTGTTGGATGCACGTGTCAAAGTCACTGTGGAATCTGAGAGGAAGTAGGGGATTCCGAAAACTTTTCGGAAAAGGAGGGGAAGCGCATTACGGTACGATCAGGTAGGCGCATCCAATATTGCTGGGCGCTTATTTTCTTCTTTGCCTGAGCGGCTCAGGCAGCTTTACTGTCTGCAAGGATGAAGGCTGTCGCTCAGACCGCGGCCCGGGGGCTTCGCATCCCTGCAGGATGCTCTGTCTTGGGGAGCGCATGTTCTCAGCAGCAACAGGGTCGGACTCCGCCGGTAATGGCACGGCAGAGCAGACTGTCATTCACAACGGCCGCAAGCAACGTGGCTGCTTGCTACATGGGTAGCAGGCTGCGTGGGGTATCTGCATTGAGGCAAGGGAGGCGACCAGCACGAGGAGTGGTGGTCATGGGAGTGCAGGAGCAGGTAGCCAAGGGCTACGCCAAGGCGCTCATGGAGCTTGCTCAGAGCAAGGGGGCTGCAGATGCAATTGCTGCTGACATGGAGAAATTGGAGGCCCTAGTTGAGAACCCGGATGTTGTGAACTTCCTGTATAATCCCGTCGCGGATGTCTCCAAGAAGCGGCAGCTAATTGGGACATTGGGCAAGGATGGTGGCTTCAGCAAGTACACCGTGAACTTCCTCAACCTCCTCGTTGAGAAGAAGCGCATTAATGCTGTGGGGTCTGTCATCAAAGCCTTCCAGGATCTGTACAATGACATGACGCAGACCCAAGTTGCGACCGTTGTGTCAGCGATCAAGCTCGAGAATGAGCAGCAGGCCCTCATTGCAAAGAAGTTGCAGACATTAACCGGCGCCAAGAACATCAAGTTGAAGAATGAGGTGGATCCGGAGCTGATTGCTGGGTTTGTGCTGAAGTATGGCAAGGGGCAGTCGGAAGAGATTGACTTCAGCGTCAAAGGGCAGCTAGACAGGTTGAGACTCGAGTTTGAGAGCGGGTTGGGAGCAGCAGCAGAAGAGGCGGAGGAAAAGGTTGCAGCATAGTTACCTGCGCGAAGACAACAGCAATTCTCCGAGCTTACTAAATTTTGCAGTATGTCTCACTTGGAGGCACTGATGAGTTGATCAAGCAACCCCTGTGGGCTGCAGTTTTTGCGCAGCTTCTTTTGAACAAGGGTTCTTGCAGACAGGATGAGTTGGCATTGCTGCCAAGGACGAGAGTGTGTGCTCGATTTCACTGTGCGCACAGTCTCATAAAAGGCATTGTTCCTAAGGGTTCCAACGTGTGAAGAGATTTCGAATGTATATGGGCTCAGAGTGCTGGCTCAAGAGGGCTAGCCAACGCTGTCTGTGATTCCTCCGGTAGACAGTTTGCCCACAAGTCTGATTTGGCAGCATAATAACTTTGCATGGTTGCCTGAACACCATGTGCGACATGTTCAAGGAATTACATCTGTAGTTTGAGGTTCGCACAGATCTGCTGTCATTAGCACCCCGGGCCTTGTGAATTATCCTTACATCTTTAGCATTTTTGCTCAGGAATCTGCCATCTCGTGAAGTGTAGGTTTGTAGGACTTTGATCAAGATGACTTGCCGCTGTATAGCAAGCTGCACAGTCAGCTCATTGTGCCCCGGTCTCACCATTGCGTTGCCCAATGGCTCATGTGAGTTGGCGTGCATATATCAGATTGCAAGCATGACAATATGCAGGGTTTAGGATACACCATGATAGAAATGACAAGGGGTGACCGTTTTGCTAAGACAAAGGCCCGAAAGCTTTCTCGCAAAACTATGGCTACATGGATCAATATGCCATGGAAGCCTACGGCCCATGTGGCTACGGCTTTTGAAAAGAGAACATCAGTCCGCGCGGAACTAGGAACAAAATCAGTGACATAGCCACTCGAACCTAGATTGTACAAATGCCCCACACATGATCCTGTCACATCTCACATCGCATGCAGTCAGGTAACGAAGTAAGGCATAGCCTGTGGTCGGATTGAAGCGTGGCAGATCAAAGGCGTACGCATGATCGGTGAAGGGAATAATACGACCATCTTCACATATAAGCCATTGATCGCTTGTGCCACATATTGTTCTTGTGCTTCAAGCCCCACTCTCAATTATTCGCTTTAGTTGCAAATTGTGTGCAGACAAATTGATTGCCACAATGTACCAAGCTTAAAGTAGGTAGAGGTGAGAGAAGCATGCCCGAAGGATATGTAAGAGTGGCAAAGCTGCTCTTCAAAGCCGGAAGAGACTCCACGATCAATAGAGCAACCTACTCGTGCCAAGTAACATCAGACTTGGGTCTTCTTCTCTCCGGGAAGGATTGTTGCGTCCGGTGGGGGCATGCCAACAATCTCTTTCAATGGGTACCACTCAACTTGCCGGCTGCAAAACAAAGAAAGTAAGTTGGTAAGCCGGATGCTATGATTGATGAAAAAACAGAATCGTAACACAAGAGCTCCCTAAAACGAGGTGTTACAAGCAATACAGGATGCCTGTCCACTCAGCTTTACTCCAGGATTTTGAAGCTTGAAGTGCAGCATCTTCTAGCAAGTAACTCAAGACGTGTGTGATTGCACAGCACACTGGGTGCACAAGGAGCCTGTAGCAGACATGGCATTGCACCCAGACTTTGGCTGCACTCTATTGAGCTGATTGAGCATTAAGTCCGTCAACTTCCATGAAGGAGGACAACACGCTGCAGGTTGTCAGATGACGGAATAACTTACGCTCCACCCATTTCAACAACAACTCGGACTTTAGGACGGAGGACTGGAATCAGGGTGAGGTACTGCAACTCCGCACGTGACAAAACCTGCAGGATTGAAAAGTCAGTCAGATATCAATGTGCCAGTGCCGGGCAAACAATCTCCATGTAAGTCTTGATTCCTTGATCATTGAGGGTAAAACAAAACAGAACTTATACAATGAGGCAAGCAAGACCACACGGAAAAAGTAGTGCCAGAGCTTTCAAGTTCAAGGTAGATGGAGGTTGCTTCTGCTTTTGCCTTGCGTGACCGAACTTGCTGGAATCCATTGTGAAAAGCAGCTCGGATCATGTAAATCAAGCTCTGACAGATATCTGGAGGCGCACGGTCCAGGCAACACATCCCTGGTCCGAAGGAATGGTGTCTGAGAGGTGCCTCACCTTGCCATCGGTCAGCCACAGCACTAGACCCTTGGAGTCCGGATGGAGCAGGGACAACCGGAAGTCAACTTCTGGAGGCATGTAGAAGGTTGCAATAGGCTCTTTTCCAAAGTGGGCCTGCAAAGATTGAGCTCGTCATTCAGGGTGCGGGGCCCAGCTCAAGTTCCTCAACGGGAGCAGTGCATTTGAAACAAGCAAACTGTGTGGCTCTTATGTCAATTCTATGCTGGTGAACGTAAGTCCGACGCCAAGCCACACTATCCCTCCGTCACCAAGTTGAGCACACACATCTGGCATCTGGTGACATGATGCAAAAGCTTGACCTACCGGACATGTCCTTGAACGTGCTCTCAAGGAAATCTTTCCCTAGTGCCAGCGCAGTCAAAGTGCACACAATGCAACTCTGTAGCTTTTGATCCACAAAAGTGCTGCTTACCGGCCTAACCCCATGGACTTTCATCAGGTATGCTTCTGGGTCCCCAAGACCCCTTGCATTCAGATTGAGTATGTGATACCCTTCGTCTTTCAGCTTCAACACGTATCGTCCCTCGGGGCCACCTTCCAAGGGCATGTACATGGCCATGGCCCCATTCTGCTCCACATCCTCATACCATTTGCCGGTGTCAAACCTGAGCAAGTCTCTTCCGACAAAGTCCAGCAGACCACAGGTTGTTTCACCCTTCTGCACTGCATTGTTCTTCCTCTTCTCAGCTGAAATCAGGTTGGATTGTGGAAGGAGCAATGAAGACCCAGACAGAAAGGGCTTGGATGCCGTGCCACAGCGCCTAGCAGATGGAAGGTATGACGCAGACGCTGCAGCACTTTGCCTGGATCGCCTAGCATCCGAATGTTGAGCAAACGCCACCCCCGCAGTCTGGCCTGCGACCACCCCATTGGATACTACGGTCCCTGCCATTTCGGATACCAAAGCCTAAGGCTAAGGAGAGGTCAAACGGTTTCCAGCAGCAACCTCAGTGCACAATCAAAGCATCTACCCAGCTGCCGGCACCTCGGGCCCTTCCTCTGGAGTCAAGACTGTCTTGAATCTTGACAAAGAAACTTTGAAAGGAACTGACCTTCGATCAAATGAAACTTTCATTAAATTGAAAGGCCCAGCCATACGCAAGGTTAGTGTCACCTAGGTGGATAACCCTAAAAGCAAGGTTCCCGTTTCCATGTTTCCGGCCCGTGAGCTCTTCGCAGGACCACTCCACCCGGTTTCTTTGACGCGAGCCTCCAGGTCGCCCACGGTTGCGCGTTAACCCACCTTCAACTGCACCTGTGCTGTATCATTTATAACGAATTTGCAGCTGAACTCCCCATCCTTGTCCCTCACTTTAAGTTTCTGCTCTTCGAATGCAAATAAGCTGCAGCTAGAGTCGGATAGACCATCCACAAACCTTCTCACATTGACAAGTAGGTAGTTGCTGAGACTCAGAGAGTGGAACAGAGGAGGTAGCTAGATGTTGGAAAGTTGGCAGAGTATGTGATCATTAGGTGCTACCATGTGTTGCAGACAAAAGAACCCCAGTACAAAGTCCCCACCTTTGTCCGACTGCCAGCATTGAGTAAGGATGCATCGGATTGCCGTCAATATCTCCGTAGTCACAAGATCTAAATACATTTGCTCCAAACTCCAATTCTGACCGCTGCTGAGCCATGCCCCCTCCCATCCCCCTGCACCAGCTCCCTGCTAAAACAGCAGCAACTGCTTACCCCCCGCTGGGACAAAAAGCGTCTCTCGATGACCTGGAGGAGGCGCTCGGCGAAGACCCAAAGCAGCGGACTCTGCGGCTGCGGGAGCTCTTTGCCGTGTTTGATGAGACTGCCGGCAAGACGGGGAGCGTTGATCGAGCAGCATTGGAGGCGGGGTTCGATTCCTTGGTGCGGTTGCAGAGTGTTGTTCATTCTCTTAGTCATTTGTTATGTCTGGACACTGTTAAGTCCTCTGCATTCTACTCAAGCCTTAGCAGCCAAGATCATCCCTTTTGCTGGGAGCTGTCACCGCTGTAGGCCTGCAGTGAGGCTTCAAGGAGCACTCACAGTCAATCATCATGCTGGTTATTTCGCAACGTGGAAGCTGATTACACCACTTGTTTGGGGCCAGCCACTAGAGCCTTGACACAGTACTCGAGCGGCGCTGAGGTCGTATTGGAAGGTTGTCAAAAGACGCTGTCGTGCGTGCAGTCGATCCCGAACCACCACAAGTATGCACGAGAGCTGCTCGAGGTGGCGGACTCGAACCACGATGGGCGCCTTGACTTCAGCGAGTTTGAGGCGTACATGAACCAGAAGGAGCTGGAGCTGCTGGAGCTGTTTCGCGAGGTGGACGTGGAGCGCGACGGCAAGCTCTTCCTCTGGGAGATCAAGGCGGCGCTGCAGAAAGCGGGTGCGCACCACCGCCCCCCCACGCCCCACAGCTTGCGGTCGGGGCTTGGCCCAAAAGGGGCTTTGTTGTCTCACTAAAGCAGAGCTTTTGACACCTGGGAAGCCATCACAATATCAACAAGGCATCCATCATATCTAGTCTTTAAGCACTCAGGTCTACTTTGTACACCGCGAAGGGGTACGAAGAGGGCGTGACATGTCAGCTTTTGCCCCAGTCTGTGCGGAGTATCTTCCAGCTCTGAGTATCCCTGGCATGTCTGTGCAGGGGTGACCATTTCCCCTGGGGAAGTGAATAACTTTATGCGCCAGGTCGATGCCAACCACGACGGCTCCATCAGCTTTGCCGAATGGCGCGACTTCTTTCTGCTCTTTCCACACAGGGTCAACGTGCGCGCCCTATACGGGTACTGGCACGACATTGCGCAGGTTAGTGCGGACCCCAAGTCTTGCAGTAAGGTGCAGGTTGTACGCATGTTCGGACTACCCAGTCCTTTGGCTTGTGTCTCTGCTTTCTACTTTGGGGAGCTTGTTCTTGTGTTGAGGCCTTTCACAAAGCCGTCTCCAACGTCATCGCCGCCCTTCTTGTGCTGATTCAGGTGGATATTGGGGATGCGCCGGTGGTGCCCTCCGATTGCTCAAACGCGCGGGGGAAGGGTCGCACGCAGGACTCCTGGAAGTACCTTTTTGCAGGGGCGGTGGCGGGGGCCGTCAGCAGGACTGCGACGGCGCCACTGGACAGATTGAAAGTGTTGCTGCAGGTGAGAACCGGGACTTGTCTTTGGCTCAAGCTGTTTTGAAAGGATCAGTGTGTTTTACAGCGGTATGCTTTTTCATCGCATTATTACATTGGCATGCTTTTCCATTGTACCTTCGGGGCAAATAGTGGTGCCAAGTACAAATCGCGTTACGATTTGAAATATCAGCGTTGTGCCCTGCGAGCATGACGAAGCCTCCTGGTGATGGAGACAGCAATATTCCACGGACATTTACAGCTTCAATACAAAGGGCGCCTCGCACTACGTCTTTTGCTCGTTTTGAAGGAACCTGGTTCCGGAATTGTCTTTACTCCGGAATGTGCGAACCTATCCGTCCAGACCACTGCAGAATCATCGATCCTGCAGGCCCTGTCTGTGCATGCAGGTTCAGCGCCAGATCGCCCCCGCCGCGCTGTCCACTGAGCTGGGCGGGGCAGCCACGCTTGCGACGGTGCGCGGGTCGGGCATGGCGGCAGGGCTGGCGCACATCTACAAGGAGGGCGGCGTGCAGGGCTTCTTCCGCGGCAACGGCATCAACGTGCTCAAAGTTCGTGCCGCTGCACTACTTGCTTGGCCACACGGCTTGCGAGAACGTCCATCTTGCTTCGATCTGCAGCAGAGTTTTTGATTCATAGATTGTCAATGGGCTGTTCCATTCCCAAGCATGACGGTCTCTCTTTCTGCTGTCTCTGGTGCCCCCGTCTGGTCGACCCACCGCTTTGTTCTAGCTGAAGTATCTCTCATGGACCTCTGCGGGCTGCCTGACATCGCTTTGCGTTTCGCAGGTGGCGCCTGAGTCGGCCATCAAGTTTGCGGCCTTCGAGATGCTGAAGCCGATCCTGTGCCGCTACTTTACGTCGTCCCTCCCCAAGCAGGGCGAGGCCCCGCGCATCAGCACGGCAGGCCGGGTTGTGTCAGGGGGCCTAGCAGGCATGATCGCACAGACTGCGATCTATCCCCTGGTAAGTGTGCCGCAATCGTTCCTTAGACCCCTGGCGGGTATTGACTCTCTGTCATCTGATCGCTCGTGCTGAGACGGGAGACGTTTTGGGACGCCTCGTTGAGGCGTCACTCCTCTTACTCCAAGACAGCGGGCGAAGGCGCCACGACTCTCCAAGCAACGATGGCAAAGCCTACGATCATGTGTAATGCTGTCATAGGAAGCGCTTAAAGAGAGCGAGGTGCTTGAGTTCCGTCGGGGCATTGTCAACAGCGGGAGCCAACTCAGTGCTTCAATTAGTCGGAGATCACATTTTGGAAGACAGCAACGACAGCGGTGTTGTCTGTCACGGTCGCCCATCTCCTGCCCACGGCAGTGTTGTGCCGCTCTCGAACTTGGGCTGATACCTGGTCCTGATGGCTCCTGGCAGGAGGTCGTGAAGACCCGCATCCAGACCGCGCCGTCCAGCGTGCCCCGGCCGACCCTCCTCCGATGCGCGGCCGAGGTGTATTCGAGCGCGGGGCTGCGCGGCTTCTTCCGCGGGCTGGGTGCGTCCCTGGCGGGCGTCTTCCCGTACGCGGGCCTCGACCTGGCGGTGTACGAGACGCTCAAGGCGCAGGTGGAGAAGAGCACGTGGGCCGAGTCGGGTACGCTCACCCAGCTGGGCTGCGGCACCGCCTCCGGGGCGCTGGGGGCGACCGCCGTGTACCCGCTACAGGTGGTCAGAACCAGGTGAGGGGCCGGGACGAGACTATCGGAGGAGGAGCTTGGGTGGGGAGACGGCTTCGAGCGGAAGCGAACGCCATGTCTGTCGTAATACTCTTTGCAAAAGGTACGCGCAAAGTAGTTCCGATTGGAGCGCAACGTTTCTTCTTGGAATGGTATTCCCCTAATGAATGAATCTGCCCTTTCATGCACGTTGCAGGTTACAAGCAAGTCTAAGAGGCGATCCTCACGGCTATACCGGCATGGTCGATTGTTTCACCAAAATCCTGAACGAGGAAGGTCCGAGAGCGTTCTACAAAGGCCTTGCTCCGAACCTTTTGAAGGTCGTGCCCGCCGCGTCAATCACCTATGTAGTCTACGAGGGCTGCAAAAAGCAGCTCGACATAGGATAAACTCAGAGACATGTAAATATGAGTCGGTTCTCGGCATGTGTCACAGTGCGCGCAATTCCACTATTTTTCCTGTGCGAGTAGAGGACATTTTGAGTTGCTACCTTTTGGAACAGAGTTATGCTTATGGCCGCGTGGTTCTAAATTTTTATTGCGGCCTGCGCTGCTGCTGCGCATACACATCATGACCGATCAGCCTTAAGGGGCAATGTTTGCCGTTTCCTTCCCAAGTTCACCGTCCTTAAGAAGCCTTTTCCAACTCATGATCGATTATATATGTATTGCGCACTGCGTTGACTACTAAATTGATTGTAATTACTGCCTCATTGAATCGCTGTTGCTTCCATATGTCGCCATTTGTATGTTAACATGTACAGCTAGATCGAAAGGTCATCACCAAAGCGGGAATGACATGTCGTCGTGGAAGCTTCGATCCTTCATTCGAATGTAATGCCCATTGCATGATAAGTTGCAATATCAGCGCTCTGCATGTTTCAATAATTGTACATGTATGTATATGACCGTTGAAGCCTGCTACGACGGTACAGCTATAGGGATCGAACCGCGAAGAGTTTTCTTTAAATACCTTCCTGGTGAAATTGGGATGATAGTTTCGTTCGTATTTAAACTGCGTTTCGTGGATCGGATGTACAAGCATGAAATTTGCACGGTCTAACGCATGTTTCTTTGTACTACCGGAGCAGGTGCCTGCAATCATGTGGTACCGGGTGCTAGCCCGCCGATTGTGGCCGCTTGCATTAGCTTGCAACGCGTTGCAAGCGGCTCAGCAGATTGCCAGTCAATCGAAGACCGCGACAGCCAACACAACACTTCATTGTATGCAGCTTGACGGTCTGTGTGCGGTTTGAAGCAGACCTCAGCCAGCATATCGAGCATGTATGTGTTCAGCCTGTTTCTCAGTACACCCTCTGTTGGATTGACTCAGGTATGCGATCCGGATAGGTCCGATGATCCGTTCAAAAACAAGTGGTTTGAAAGGTGCAGTATGATCATGCAAAATCAAGGAAGAATATATGAGTTCAGTTGTTTCCGCCTATCACTGTCCAAACGAGCGAGAAGGCCTGACTCGTCCTAGTATGCGTTCTTTCAAGATTCTGCCGCTGTAGCAGCAAACTTGAGGTTGACTTCAAATGCAACTGCAGCGCGTGTTTGCAGTGATTTTTGTAATAGCACAATGCCCTTAGGCATGCTACTCAGGTCGCGTGCTCCGCTTTGGAATTGAGTGTCTTAGCTGCTGCGGCAACTCCGCCTAATGCTTCTAACTATTTACGACTAAGACTAAGCGTCCAAAATTCTTGCAACTCCTCTGATCGCAGGTTTCTACTATACAACGCCGTCTTGCGGTATCCATTTCTACTACTTCGATGACAATCCTTTGCTTCCTTTGTGAACAGCTGTCTTCGTTTCGGACTTGGACACAGGAGAGCCCACCTTCGAGGCAATACTTAAATAGATCTGACTACTACTCTAAAATGCGGAGAGTGTTTGTTGGAAGAGTTGCTTTCAATAGTCGGTAAAGTCTCTACTCCTTACTCGTGCTTTGAAGCGTCCCATTGGCTTCTTCTTTCACCGGAAAGTACTCAGCTAGGACAAGGCGCAGCTGTTTCTGATCCAGGGGTTTAGGGAGATAATTTGACATTTGGGCCTCAAAGCACTTCTCCTTGACCCCTTCCTGCAGAGTGAAGCGGACAGAGGCAGGTGAGACAACGGACGAGCCCGCACCAGAACCAGTTGCATTTGTGTCACGCTCCACATCCAATTCTGCAACAAAGTAGACAAAAATCTCCCAAATCGTTTTCATATCGCAGTTTACTGACAAAACCGTTTGCCTCCCATACCATGACATCGGCCGTCAACGCCACGATTGGAACGCCCAGCTGCGCTGCTTCTGATGGGGTGGAGCTCAAGACCTCCTCCCCATCGAGGCTCGCGTCCTGCGTAACCTCTGGTGACGTGCCCCGGGCTTCAGCCTCGACTTGCCGGATGGCCCTGGCCGCTTCAAACCCGTCCATGCCGGGCATCTGCACACAAGACACTTGTTTCAAGGGTCGCTCAAGCTGAGTTCGTCTCTGCATCTGCACCTGCTAACATGCGAACAGCAACCTTAAAGAATCCCGGTGAAAAATGTGCACATGACCAGTCCTTGTAGCAATAAGCAAGTGCAGTGAGCATTCCTGACAACCGACCTACAATTGCTTGCTGCCGTCTAAAATCCCCCCTACCTGCAGGTCCATTAAAATCATATGGAAGGGCTTGTCCTGCGAGTTCTTGAAGAGCTCCACCGCCTCCTCCCCACCGGCCGCGGGGACCACCTCGCAACCGTACCGCTGCAGCATGCTCCCTGCCACTTTCCTGCAGACATCCACCGCAGTCTCGGCAATGAGCTTGACGTAGCAGAAAAGAAGCGGCTTGAAAAACAAGGTCTGCAGCACGGGTCAGTACCGGCTTGCAATGCCGTTTGACCATGTGCAGATGCATGTGATCTCAATTTCCCCGGCTCCCTGCTTCTCACAATCCAACTTCGTTGCCGTTATCAATGGGCAGCCCCGGCGCGCACCTGTTGATGAGCGTATCGTCGACCACCATGATCCGCACTCCCGCCAGCCACGACTTGAGTGCGCCGCCCACCCCGTCCAACGCCGTCGGCTGCATCCTCCGCATGGCGATGCCCAGCGCTTGCAGCATGCACACCGAGATGGTGCCTGTGCGGAGCGGCTTCACGAGGACCTGCCACGTGGAAAGCGCAGGGGCACCTTGAGGCAGAGAATACTCGATGAACGGTCAAAGGAAGGTACGGACTGAAGGTAGAGCTGTGGCGTCTGAACGTCCAAGAACGAGGGCCTGAGGTAGCTCAAAAGCCTTGAGCTTATCTTTATGCAGACCAGGGATGAGCTGTCTTTCATCTCCACAGAGAACATACTGACCATCCTGAAGGTCGACTTCCCCATCCCCACTTGACGCGTTGAGCCGGAATTCCAAGGCCCACCTGCGCAAAGCCTGCCCACTTGGCCTTGGCCTCCAGCTGCGCGTTGATCCGACACGTGGCCAGCACCAGCGCTATCCGGCCACTCAGCCGCAGGTCCGTCCCCAGCTCCTGCCCTAGCCTGCGGGCATCCTCATGCCCCCCGACGGCCTCTGCGTCCACAATGGCCAGGCGGAAGCGGGACGGCGCATCAACGCAGGCCGCGGCCATTGAAAGAGCGTCGCTGGCGCGGGGCGACACCACGGGCTGCATGCCCAGCCTGGAAGGACAGCAAACACCGAGATCCTCGTCAGCCAGGCTGCATATCGTGTGAACAAGCTGTTCAAGGCGTCTCCGCGAAATGTTGATTCTGCTCTAGATCAATGCGCCCAATGGACGCGGGTGAGCAAGAGCAGCCGCCACAGAGCAGAGACCAGCCTGCGCTGGCGCACCCACCGTCGTAGGTGTGCGGCGACCACTTCTTGGCGGACGGCGTGGCTGCCCACGACCAGGACGCGCACCCCGCGCAGCCGCTCCGACTGGAGGCTCTGCAGCTGCAGCGTGGCGCTGCGCTCGACGCCCAACCGAGGCACCGTCAACTCGACGTCGAACTGCGGGGATACGCCACCAGATGAGAACGCATGCCAGTAGAGGAAGTCAGGGATACTTCAACAGCTCAAAACCGCCAAGAACGGAAGCACGAGTTTACTGATGCAAAATATACTCACGATCGAAGTCGTTGCTGAGGCCGGAGATCAGAGCACACAGATTTGCAGCAACCAGTGTTTACAGCTTCTATCTGCAGAAGCAGCAAGATTTGGGGCCCACCTGGAAGGTGCTCCCAACGCCCGGGATGCTACTGAAAGCAATCTTCCCGTGCATAAGTCGAACCAGCGCCCGGGAGAGGCTGAGCCCGATGCCAGTGCCGCCGAACTCACGCGTAATGGACGAGTCCGCCTGGAAGAACGGCTCAAACAGCCGCGGCTGCACCGCCAGCGGAATGCCAATGCCTGCACCCACAGCGGCAGCTCGGCTGACGTGTCCTCTGATAGCAACACCAAGGCCCTTCGTGTTGCAACTCGGATGCCGCCAAAGCAACAACTTTTCGGTGACTCTAGTTTGACACAGCATGCACCACTGCAAGACGAGACCGTATGCAGCATGGCCCTGCCAATCGTCGAGCCTGCCAACCTTTCCCGCAGTAATAATGGGACTGGGACTCCAGGCTTTGCAAAAACGCACCTGTATCCTCCACAGAGAAGATAAGCCGAACTTTTCTACTTTGCCTTGGAAATGGAGGCGCCCTGCCGGACCCGTTATCCATAAATAACCTGCAATAGGGCATGCCCGCGTCAGCTGAGGAGGAGAAGCATGCGGCGGACAGGCATTTCAGAGGGCAGCTCCGGTTGTGCTCAAGAAGATCAGACTCCCCAGGCAGAGAGGGCACCCGGATCTGCCTTGCCTACTTACCTGACCGCCCCTGGGCTGCTTTGCGCATCTGCCCGTAAGGACACCGGCGGTACCACTTCCCCTCGCTCCGTCTCCGATCCTTGCCGGCTCTGTGCAATATGATCCAGCGGAGCGTCCCCCGCCGCTCCCACCGCCCCACCCCGCTGCCAACGCCGCCTTCCAAACCACTTCTTTCGACTGGCTGCCTGGTCTTGAAGATCGCTACTGACCGCGGGCGCAACCCGCGTGGGGTCCTCTGCTCGACTCTCTGCTCCAGCACCAGACCCTGAGGTCGTTGGCGTAACCCCCTCTGTGTCCTCGGATGGGGACTCGAGCACGTGGTTGGTGCCTTCTGACCGGGGGCTTAGATCCCCTTCGGGAACATCGACATCAATGGTGTGATGTCCGGGCGGCTGCTCCCCCTCGTCAACGGGCTCCATGCGTATGCAGACCAGCACGCTCCCCTCCTTGGTGAACTGCACGTCAAGGGGAGCGTGAGGGACATCCGTAGAAATACCAGAGGTTTATTCGTCCAAGCAACTCAAGAAGCAAAGACAGTGGGCTCTCCACGAAACCCTGTGTCAGAAGCAGCAAATCCTGGTTCAAGGGGCATGACAAGAGCGGCCAACAGCTGCTGAATCAGGAATGGAGGCTCACCTTGACCGCGTTTCCCACCAGATTGATCAGCACCTGCCGGATCCTCCCCGGGTCGCCCAGCAGCAGCTCCGGGACGGAATCCTGGACCAGGCCAGCCAGCTCCAGGTTCTTCTGCCGCGTTCTGCAGGAAACAAAAAGAAGCTTCTACAAACTGGCCTCATTGGCTTTGTACGAAGGAGCCCTGCTTTACTGTGTCTTGGGGTAGTTCCTCAACTGCAAGTATGGATGTCCTATTCCATAGTTGCTCATCGACTGCATGACCTGCTCAAACGACTGATGTGCTTGCTTGCATAGCTTGCCCTGCAATAACCGCCGCTGTGCCTTCCCCGACCTCCACAGCACACCTGCCACTCGTCACATGAGCCACCCCTTCCCCCCGCTGCCTCACCTCTCCTCGAACAAACCCAAGACATCGTCCAACTCTGTCCTGATGTCCAGCAGAATCGAGGCGATCTCCATCCTGCCTGCCTCGATCTTGGACAGGTCCAGAAAGTCGTTGACGAGCGAGCACAGCGCGTTCCCGCTTGCGCGCGCCGTCTTGACGTAGTCCAGCTGCTGCGCGTCGAGCTCCGTGCCCAGCAACAAGTTCGTCATGCCTGCAGCACGGCCGACAGGAGTACATCACTCATAAGAACCAACGAGTGAGATGGCCCACGACCTCGGATGAGCAGAAAAATCTGGAGCAGGGATGTAGTGGACCAGTCATGTCATGTGAGCTGCCCTCAAAAACCCAAAGAGAAAGCCTTCTGCGGCTTGGCGTTCTCCACATGTTCAGGACTTCGGGCGCCGCCAGTCTTTATCTTACCAATCATTCCGTTCATGGGCGTGCGAAGCTCGTGGGACATGTTTTGCAGGAAGTACGTCTTGGCCACGTCAGCAGCCTCGGCTGCCACCTTGGCCTCCCGCATCTCGTTGTTCAACCTTTCCATTCGCAGCAGGTTCTTCTCCGCTTCCTCCGCTCGCTGTAAGATAGAAAGACAACCGACTCGATCGGTCTAGTTTTCCTTGCCTTAAAGCGAAAATTTGGGTGGATGCCGTGCATACCTTGCCACAGGCCATGACACAATCGGAAATTTTTGCAACAAGATGGTGGTCCAACTGCCAGGTTAGCACAGCTGCAAATAAGACTGGATCGAATATCTACCTGCCTTGTAGCGTGAACCCAAAACTAGCTGCTTGTGGACCAACCTTGAGCGTAAGCCAAAGGATGAAGCCTGCTAGGAAGCCGACGATGAGAACCAGGGCAGCCCATGCAAGCGGCCGGCGAGTGGCTATGTGCGAGTTGGTGACAGGACGAGAACAGCCAACTTGATACCTGCCAAAAGACAGTAACGAACATCCTTTGGAGAGAGTCAAGCTAATGATGCATGCTATTGGCTGTGAGCAGAAACAGCAGTACTGCTGTCAGCAAAGCATTTCAGCCATGACCCCAGCATGTCAGATACCATCTGAAGAAGCACATAAACACTAACCTTCGAACTCCCGCTGTGAAGACCTCAACATGCTCAAACTTTGTATGATTTGCAGTTCCAAAAATGAGTCCGTTGTCAGGGTCGAAGACGACCCCAAGGGCTTCGTTGGCAGTTGACATGTCGTAGATCCACAGCCTGCAGGTTTGAAGGATTATGCGACTGAAAAACAAAAAGTCGAGCCTGATCTTCCGTGCAGCTCTAAGCATTCCTTCATATAGGATTGCTGAAAGGACGCGGCACCGTAGGTTGACTTGCATGCAACTGCTTGCAAGTGCGGCACCACTCTCATTGTACATGTGGGGAAACCACACTCGGCAGATTGGCCTGAAGCACCACACTCACCTGATGTTGGCTCCCGCATCCGACTCTTGCTTGAGCTGCGCAACTACTTGCGCTGCAAGTTTACTCACAGCATACTGGGCCCCAATCCAGCCAGCAATCCCCGCTCGTCTCTGCATCACAAAAAGCATTGGATATTGCAAGCTACAGCAGCCTGTACTACTGGCTTGCAAAGCCCTGGTTGCCTAAGTGCTTGCAAAAGCAGCAGGTCAACATGTAAACCTGTGGGGAGCAGGTCAAAGAGCTTTCAAGGTGGATGACAAGGGCAGAGGATCACCTGCTCGAGTGTTGCGTTGGAGCCCTCTGAAAAGTTGTTCGCCCCATAATCAGGATAAAACCCAAGGAAGCCTCGCATTCCGTTAGCAAACGTCTGGGGCGAAGTGAAGGCAGCGCCACCGCTGTCTTTTGCCCTGCAAAAGCATCATCATAAAGGTCAGATGCTTCGTGTCCATAAGAGATTGAGAACAAGTCAGATCAACCTCGATCTGAAAGCCACATAGCATGTACCTTTTCGGAAAGGAAGTTGCACTTCAACTAAAAAGCTTGGGGCACAACAACCCGTGCTAGAGAAACAGTGTGCCTTCTCAGCATCAAACCAAAAAAGTCCGAATAAATACAGATTGGAACCCACTCATTGATCTTGGACGTCTACGACCGTACCCAACTTATAAGCAGGAGCAATCACAGTCTTAACAAAGTGAGGCTAAGACAGAAAGTGAAGTGGACTCGATGTGCCCCCAAGATTCTCACCTGGCCAAGATCGCTGCTTCGTAAGGGTCGGACATCAGATCAAACCCAACAGGAATGTTCTTGTTTTCTCTGCTCTGTACATTTACAAGGGCACACATTAGGATGCAGCCATTGGAAATGTCTGTCGAAAGGAAAATGGCTGAGCCTGAAAGTTGCGATAGCGCATATAAACAAGCATAAGCCCATCCGGTAAAAACGAGCAAGCTAATAAGACCATAGAAGCTGGAGCTGAATCAGGACTACATTGGCTGCGGAGGCGAGAGCAATGAGATCTCACATTGAAAAACTGAACAATACCATACTGTTCCGCAGGCTGTCTTGGCAAATAGCCAAACTTGCCCGGGGCGCTTGAGGGCGTAAATTCTGCAGAAAAAAGCCTTGTTAAAAAAGTGACTGTCTGAGTAGGATATTGGACGTCTCAATATGTCACAGGCACTGTGACAAGCTGTGTCCTGATCACTGGGGACCAGCTTTGAAGGGGGTAGAATTGAAGTACCACAGTTTAGCAATGGCAACGGCGACACTCCCAACACATTAGCCTACTGGACCACCATTTTTCTGGGTTCTGTGCTAGCAAGTCTATCCTGGCTCACCCGTGAAGTTTACGCCTAATTGCTGTTCGACCTGCACAGACAAAGAAAACCAATGAACATCTTGGAGGTCCGGAGGTCCAAATCTGCAGAGATAACCTTCATCAAAACCAAATCAACGGCAAGATTTGGCATCTTGGAACTTGCCAGCGAAGTCTGGAGCAATAGAAGGCCTACTTGCTGAACAAAACGCTGAAGGCATCACTGACCTGCGTACGATCTGCAGCGCGAACAGCCTTGACGTAGATTACATTGTTCAGAAGGGGGCGCTGAAATGAGGTCGCAATAGCAAAGTTGGTGAAGCTTGTCAAGTTAACGGTTCCAGGAGCAGATTGTATGAACCCAATGAAAATCCGGGCAGCTGCAATCTGGGCCTGGAGTGACATCTGCACAGACCAAGAGCATCAATTAGTATGTTGTCTTTGTCAGAAGGCCTGCGATGATTCATCAAGCGCATCCAGGAAACCTGCATCTTATTTTGCCATCAGGTTGCAGCTGAGGCGACAGCATTTTCAGCCGGTGGCCCCTCTCTCCAATCCTTCTTCCTGGATTGAATCAACTTCTTTTCAGTCATGCTATCTAGGAGCACAGAAGGCTTCTCCCAATCGACCACAAAATGAGGGCTGCTGTTCTGACCCCCGAGGTCCACATATGGCGAGGTTCACCTCAAATCGTGCCGCCACATCCCCGCACGATTGCGTAAGGGTTTTGTACGATGCCTGCTTGTCCAGGGAAAAGACTAGATAGAACGTCAATCCAGCAAGTCCCAGCGCCACGATGCACCAGAAGTAGAGAAAGTATCGGAGGTAAGACTTTTTGGAGCTCCAGAATCTGTTCCAAAAGCCCCGCTTTGGCACATCGTGCGCTTCCAAACTGCAAACAAAGCAGACAATAAGTAAGGCACTGCACCATGGGGCCTATGGATTGTCCCTCGGTGAAACTCGCATGAGAAGATGGCTTCCAAACAATGAGTGCTTGCACCGAAACAAGTCCAAGCCTTTGCCTGTGTGCCGACATGTAGCGTTCGTAAGAGCCTTCAGCACAGGTCAGGGAGCACGAATATAAGAAAGAGACATGAGTTGGGAATCTATTGCTCTTTGTGTTGACCGTCATCTGCAGTGTTGCCATTGGAGCAGAAGGTGTACGAGTTGAATCAACATTACAGCTTCTTCGTGAAAACACCTCACCTGAACTGTCCATCAGGAGCAGGCTCCGCCATTGCAACGCTAGCTCACACGCCCCGATGTTACGTCACATGCAGCTCAGCATTTGTGCTTCTTGAAATTCCAAGCTATACCTCCCAAAATCCACTGTTGTCAAAACCAAAAACACCGTCTAAACCTCCTGGTGACAGCTGCTCTTGATGTTTTCCGCCACCTCACCAAACCATCAAGCAAGGGTTTTGGCAGCTCTTACACAACGTTGGCCCTAACACAGGCTCTGTTGCTTGCCATAATGCCTGACCCTCCCTTCCGTTGCTGCAGGTCGAAAAGTTAGCCTCGTGCTACATTGCCGTTGACCCAAACTGCTGCATAGCCATCGCCCTGCCATCATTCGGCAGCTCTGATCTCCAAAGCACCTCTACCTAGGGCCATTCCGTTGCCATTGCCAGCATTGGCATGAGGTTCCAGCATCCGCGTATGATTCTGAACATGCTGATTTAACTCTCAATACCACGTTTGCAGCAGCGGCCCCTCCCCAGCCGTCCTCCACGGAAATTTTATCTCGCACAAATCCCAAGCCTTCTGTCAGTGTAGTAAAGGCCCAAGCCTAAAGCTTCGAGGATCTTGAACAGCCTGCCAGGTTTAGCGGAATAATGGCAGCTGGTTAATTTATCGTGGCTCGAATAACCCGGTCGGTCCCGGGTCCCGTACACCGTGCGGCACTCAGGACTTAGGAGTCGGGAGGCGGGACGCGTGCGTCATGATGCGGCTTCGTTGTTTACGTGACGTCATTAAAATAGGTATGAGCCTAATTGAGGTCGATGTTCTGGCACCAGGGTTTCCCACAGCCGGCAAGACAACCTGGACCTGGCCGGCCGAGATGGGGCCCCGCCCGGTGCCGAAGGCACCCCGCCGGCTGCTCAGCCGTTAGAAACTGCAGGCAGTTCCTGGGCTCGGCCGACCGGTACACCCATTTACCGACTGTCAAGCCGGAAGAACCGGGGGTTGCCCGGTGCCGGCAGCTGGCCGGCCGGGACAGAAGTCCGTGGGAAACCCTGTGTTCTGCGTTCCCGGGTCTCGATCTTCGTGTACCGGTATGGTACCTATCCTGGGATATTGCCTACTTGTAGGGTTAAGTTGCAGACGTAGGATTGACGATGATCGACCGGTGACCAGGTTTTTGAGCCGGGCTGTTCTCGAAGCTATTCTCGCGTGAAGTCTTTAATTCTGTATCTTCTGGCTAACCCAGTTCCAAATCTGAACCACGGTAGTTACGGTACTCGGGGTACGCCGCCCGGTAGATCACGATGACGACTGTACCTACTTTCCCGGTACGTAAATATTCATTCAATGATTGCGCCAGCCTGAGGCCATGAAACCCATGCCGGCCCGCAAATCTTGCGTCGCTTTTGTACGTGTGGTGACGACGTGGCAGGTCGAAACCGTTCTGCTCGCGAGTCAGCCGCCACAGAGCACTCATGCAGAGTCAGTAGTCAGCACTGATACAGCGATCACACATGACTGAAAACCGACTTCCGTTGGTCTGTTTTCGACGTTTCAGGTCATTCTGGCCGTCGACGGCGGCCAGAACTTTTTCGCCATACTTTTGTCGTTGTCGACGGTCGTTGACTTCCGTCCGCCTACGT